ATAGCCACTTTGTTCTAAATTTTATGAGGATTACAAATATATAATAATATAAGGAAGTAGATTTGCAAATAAATAAGTTATGGGCAAAAAACTGATTTCAGTACATAGCGTTTAGCTAAGAATGCATAGCCTAACCATAGCTAGGAATCTGGATGATAATTTACATCAATATCACTACCTACTTCTTCAGGATCATCAACCAGCACTTCAAAACCACTTAAATCTTCTTATAATGCACCACGTATATCACTACTTTTGATTTTTAACATTAAAACAATGATAAACGTAATAAAACACATCAGTCATCGGTCCGGGGGAACCTAGCTGTTTACAAATACACGCAGCTGTCTGCTACAATATTTTCGGAACTAAAATGAATAGCGCTTAGAGACAGACCTCTGGAGAAAGCTTAGAATATTACGGAAAGAACGATACCTAACTCGATCCAGTTCAATCCGATTCAGTCAGTCATAGAGCCTTCGCCGTAAACGATGTCTGCGTGTCGAAAAATCGACAAGTAACACTACACAAAGTGTGCTGCTTGTCGAATTTTCGTCAAGTAACACTGGGAGGGTTAAATAGCCTAACAAAAACACTATTTATTTTAGTCTGAACAATCCCACAATAGGACGCCGGCAGAGCGACCGACGGTCCTGCGTCGGATGAGTGTAGGCCTAGCTTGTAGGCTAGGTCTTTTTATTAATTATATTTTACCTAACGATGGTCTGTACATTTAACTTGCAAGTTAAGCTTTATGTAGGCCTAGGCCTAGACCCAATGTTTTCAGCAATAACAATTTCGAATACATAGTTCTCAGTGGAGGTTTGGTTACCGTTAGTTTGGGAGTTAGTTGGCCTTAAGGTACTAACTTAAGAGTGAAATCATAGTTAGCAGATCGCCTGGGGTTTGATGAAATATGCCGTTGATAGAGGTAATACCATTCCTAGGCTTAAGTTGGGCCTGGTACAGTGTCTTAACTGGGCTCAGAGGCTATCTCATATTTACTAATCGAATCAATAGTTTCAATCGATAAGTAGCCCAATATTCCTTAACCCTCTATCTGGCGCTGGTCGATTTTCGACCACTAAAACGTGAGTTCTCAGTGGCGCTGGTCGATTATAGACCAAGATGACATGGGTCGGGTTTTTCTATTATTAAAATATGAAAACAGTTTTAAAACGCAATAAATCGTATATCATTAAAAAGATGAGATTCTGAGGATTCATTTTCATGCATAAAACATTATTGAGTGAGTATTATGTAGCGAGAAACGGTAGTTTGAAAAACTAGAGAGTTCAAAATAGATTTTGGCGGTGGAAAGTTTTGGTCACCTGACTACGAAAACAGCTGTTTTTGGTGATTGTCAATTTAATTGTACACAATACCTATTTGTACATATTCTTAAACTACAATAAATTCCCTACAATTCCCTGTGAATCTATAAGGTTGATTGTAAAAATTTTATTTGTTTTTAAAAATGTCATAAATATTATGTTTTTGTAAAAAAATCTTCAAAATTTTACATTCCGACGTAAATTTCTCCGACATTTTAGAATTCAACTAAATATAACTATATATTTTCAGAAAGATCTTTTTATTACCTATTGTACAGTATCATTTCATTTTTTGTTGATGCATTCTATTATTTCCTACGTGACAAAAAGAAATTTGGTAGTTTTTCAAAAAAGAAAATATGTATAAAGAATTAATTTTTTTATAATTTTATTTTTATGAGTATTTAAAAAACATTGATATTTCGACGTAAGGAATCATATTTCACACAAACTTTACATTTAGATAAAATGTATAAAAGATTATTCTGTGGTTTTCTTGTGGGTTGTTTTTGAAATTTCTAATTTGCATAATCCAAAAATTTGCAAACCTTTTGCTACTACGCCTTAACGCATTGCTAGGAAAAGAATATTTTTATATTATTACTAGCTGACCCGGCGAACTTCGTATCGCCTAAGTTATAGGTTTCCCCTAAGACAGACCGATGGAAAGAAAGTACCGCTACGTTTAATTTTCAAGATGATCTCGTTCGCATCGCTCAATCACGTCCTGGTTGAAGTTCGTTCGCTACGCTCACTCACCTTTGGGTTGGAGCTCGTTCGCTACGCTCACTCACCTTTAGGTTGGAGCTCGTTCGCTGCGCTCACTTGCCTTCAGGTTAGCTCGTTCGCTACGCTAACTCGCCTCCAGGTTGAAGTTCGTTCGCTACGCTCACTCACCTTTGGGTTGGAGCTCGTTCGCTACGCTCACTCACCTTTAGGTTGGAGCTCGTTCGCTGCGCTCACTTGCCTTCAGGTTAGCTCGTTCGCTACGCTAACTCGCCTCCAGGTTGTAGTTCGTTCGCTACGCTCACTCACCTTTGGGTTGGAGCTCGTTCGCTACGCTCACTCACCTTTAGGTTGGAGCTCGTTCGCTGAGCTCACTTGCCTTCAGGTTAGCTCGTTCGCTACGCTAACTCGCCTCCAGGTTGAAGTTCGTTCGCTACGCTCACTCACCTTTGGGTTGGAGCTCGTTCGCTGCGCTCACTTGCCTTCAGGTTAGCTCGTTCGCTACGCTAACTCACCTCCAGGTTTAAGTTCGTTCGCTACGCTCACTTACCTTTTGGTTGCAAATTAGCTGTTGTCATAAATGTAAAAGAAATAATAGTGCTGCAACCTGTTGGTAATCCTTGTAACTTTAATGGTATTGAACATCATAGAACAGAACCAACTTGTTTAATTGAAACAGCTGTTAAGATTCATTAATTCCATTTCTCATAAGGTTAACATGGGAAACTCCAGAGCCACTGGGGCGGAGCCCTTTTAAGAATTTCGAAACGGGAAATAGTTTACTTTCTATTCGCATACCTACAGAATATACACACCAAATTTCATAACGATCGGTGAAGTCGTTCCGGAGGAGTTTGCAGACAAACACTGTGACACGAGAATTTTATATATTAGATATTCTAAATTCATCACTGAAATAGAAAATATATATATGTGTGTACTTATATTCACAAATAAATGTTCTGTGGCAAAATATATGATACCACTACAAAAGCGCCAAAATATACCCGCCACTGGTGAATAAAATGACCGCCAGATCTAAGGTTAATTTATAGCCTCTATTCATTGAATTTGAATGGTGAGATTTGAACTCACCGGGCTTCTTGGACCAACCTCTAAAAGACTAGGCCTACTTTACTTTGTAAAAAAATAGACTAATAAAAACTTACCAATATCAAAGATAATATTGCAAAGTTAAGATTGTTGCCTATGTATCTCTTTTTACATCCACGTCCACCCCAATATCTTGAGCTATCGAAATTTAATCTACCGTACCGTACCTACACTTCTACAGAGACAGGTGACAGGTTAATTCATTAGGAGACAAGACGTGACGTGACGTAAGACGACGACGACAGAAACAGACATGATAAACAGGACTGGACTGGCACTGGAATGACTGGGACTGGAATGGGCTGGATCTGAACTGAACCAAAATAGGACGAGAAAGAGACTAGACCTAACTATTGCATTGATTAAATATTTTGTTACGTCAGTGGCATTTTTATTTAAGTCAAATTTAGATTTAAAACAAATCCATTAAAGTTTTGTGGATTAGTTGGGGATCGTAACCGTCTCTCCCGCACCGAAGTCCGAGACGCAATTTGTAACAGCAGTAAGGGCCATACTAACTGGGGGGATACTCTGTGGATTATATCGTTTTTTATTGCTAAAAATATTGAAGACGACATTTTGTTACGGCCAAAAACAATTTATTCCTAAATAAACTTTTTTTCAATAAAGGTTTATTTGAAAGTAGCTTCCAGACTAGGGACGGGAAATGTTATTGGGCCTAGGGCGCCCAAATGATAGATCCGGCCCTGTTCCACCCCCATGTTACAGTTGTCACCAGTTAAAAAAAAAATTAAATAAACAAATGAAGTGAGCCACCAACAGATTGTGCTGATGTGAGGTAACTTACTCTGATTTCTGTAGATATGATGATTTAAAGATATACTTAACATCTTTTATGTCACATCAACTATCTCAGTAAAAAATAAATTAACACATACTTTCTCCCATTAGCTTGCTATTAACCCTATGATGGGCGGTAGAAAGTTTAGTATTTTATGGGTAAAATCACAAAAGTTGCAATAACTTAACATTTTTCACAGCAATGTACTTTAGTACATCTTTAGTACATTTTTTAGCAGCGAGTACTTTAGGGTTTGCTGCTACGTGGGGATTAATAAAGGGGCAATAAAGCCTGTGTTTATTGAAATGTTAATAGTATGAAATAAACAATCTTGATCAAAATACATATCCCTAAACAAGCACAATACAAACAGTTTATTTATTCTCCATAAAAATAGCAAGGGAATTTTAAATTAACAGTTTTTTTTGTTTTCTGTAATCATTAAATGCTCTTGTTTTCTCTGTAATCGTTAGGCTCTGTTTTCTCTCTGTAACATACTATAAATTATATCTTTTTAAGCTCTAGAAGATAGTTTGGAAAGAAGTTAAACATTTTATGTTTTGAGGGTCAAAAATGGGAAAAATCTATTTTACCACATAAAACGTCATTCTCATAGTCCGATAATGATGGTTCATGAACTCATCCAGATAAATGTAAATTACACGTTTGTACCGAATTACATTGAGAATTTTGGTGATTTTTACTTGATTCATCGTGCTAATATGATTTTGATTAGATGGTGTTTTTTATCTCTAGCAAAATCTAGAAATGAAAAAGTAAATCGGTCCCAGATCTAGATCTTGTCTTTTAACCGACAGTAATTTACTTAAACCCATATGCACTTGAAATGACTTTACATGTAATTAAAATTAGGAAAATTATTCATCATCACCATTAACGGTATTAAGTAGGTAAACAAACATCCTGAATAAGATTTAACTATAATATTTAATTAAAGCTTTGACACATTTAATAGAGTTGGGTCATTATGGAACAGATTACCCAAGTTACAAACAGGATTACAGCAAGGCAGCCATAAGAGTGCAGCACTTGTAGGGTTAGTGAACCTCCATAACCTAAGGAGGAACTTTGGCACCGATTCATCCACCAACACAGGGAGCTCCTCATGATATAGAACCAGAAAGGTAGGATGAGCTTAAATTTTAACAAACAACTTTGCTTAAAGATATAACTCTAAAATATGTCATTCAAATTCGGCACGTAATTTAATTGTATTTAATTTTATATTAAAGAAAGGTATGATTTTCTGCAAACTCCTATAGCTTGTACAATATATTATTTTTTATAAAAAAATCCGTAATTCACGTATATTCCTAGCGCAAAGGAAAACTGCAAACTTACTAAAAAGTCTATTTTAAAACTTTAACATAGAATCATAACAAACAATAACATATTAGCTCAGATCTTTTAAATTAACTGGTTAATTTATTGAAAGATGTAGATTTTACCTATGATAAATCAACTAAATTTTAAATTATTAACGTTGAGGCACATAAGGCCTAAAATAATAAACAAGAGGGTATATAGGATTTGACCGATTGAATAACAGAGTGGTAGGAGTAGGAGTCTTCTTCTTTAGATCCACAGGAAATGTAAATATTCCCTTTGATATTGGGATATTAATTAATAACACTCTAAGGTCATTCTCTAACAGTAAAACACTAGTATTTAAGCCGTTCTTATACAAATCCAGCAAAAGAATTGTGGTCTGATTGTTAATACATATAAATTAAAAGAAAACAAAAAGTATGCTGCACCCAATTTTTTTTTCATTTTAGCGAATTTCCCATATAGGGAATAAGCTATTACCGTAGTACTCATGGTAAGACCTGGACCCGGGACCGATTTAATTTTTCATTTTGAGGTCCCTAGAGGCCAAAAACACCATCCGTTCAATTCATATATATATATAGAGCGATAACTCGAGCAAAAATTATCCGATTTTGATGAAATTTGGTACAAACGTGTAAACCTACGTTTATTTGAACGAGTTCACGATCCAGCATAATCGGACCATGGGAACGGGGGTTTATGGGGTTTTTATGGGGTAAAAACAGGGTTTTCCCATTTTGACTCTAAAAACAAAAAAATTGCAATTTCTTTTTTAGAGATTTTGTAGAGATTTTGCAAACCGTTTTGTAGAGCTTAAAAAAAGAAATAATTTAGTATATTTAAGCACTGTTGTATGCCTAACGGTCACGGAGAAAATTCAAAAATAGTGTAATATGTAAAATTCCCATGTTATTCTTATGGAGAAAATGAAAATTGTTGTAGTTAACTTGTTCATGGATATATATTGATAAAATTTGGCAAATTTATTAATTTCATCCTATAGATACTATTGACGTATGGTCAAAAAACACTTTTTACCTTCCCCGTAGCAGCAAACCTAAGCACTTGTTAAATCTAATGTTATTTAAATAGGGAATAAATACGTCTTATTTATGGAAATATTTTAGTAAAAATGTAATCAGACAAGTTGAAATTCGCTTAGTCTGCAGGTTTGCTGTGGCAGGGGTATTTGTTAATTAATAGCGATAGTAAAAAAAAATAATATCCAACTTAATAAAGACATTACTTAGCATTGTTAACACAAAGTAACATTTTTACTACTTCCAGATAAAATATAATGAAGAAGCGCAGGGTTGCTCCAACCACCTATTCAGCATCGAGATCCGCCAAGAAACAACCTGAAGAAAAGATTGAGAAGGAGCCTGTGGATGATGATGAGGAAACTGGCTTTTCTCATTGGCTCAAGACAGGGCAAGGTGTTGAGTTTATGAAGTACTTTGTCATTCTAAACTCTCTGGGGGTTTTCCTGACTTTGGGCTGGCCTTCCATCTCCAAGAGCTATCACATCTTGAGATCTTTATTTTTTGAGGAAGAGGACTACTAGGGTAAGTAATATTAAGTAGAAAACCTTTTAGGCACTAAGATGTGCATTGACATTATATATTTGGTGAAAAATGTTCTTTCTAACAAAATTGTTTTGAATACCTGACACAAATATTACCAGCATGGATGTTAAAACAGTTACATTAAAACGATTAAAAGACAGTGACTATGTTATCGAGGACCTACTGATGAAGCGATTATGACATAATTACTGTATATGCCAAAAAGTCTTCCTTACAAGTTTAAAACTAGTTGTGGCAATAAGAACACAATTTTATAAAATATTTGGACATTAACTGTGCCATTAAAAAGCTTCCTTATGAATGTGGTTTCTTTTTAGCGAATTTCCCATATACGGAATAAGCTATTGCTAACATTGTTATTGATTCAATATTTTTTGGAATGTCAATGATTACCAAATAACATTATGGGATCTGGTTGATCAAACATTTTTTTCAAGGAAAAGCATGATGAAATTTGATTTATAAATCTTTTGTCGCAAAGGAAGTGTGAAAAAAGAAGCTACATTCTCAGAAAATCAAAACGAATTATTTGGATTGTTTGCTGTATGGACTGAGTGTAGTTAAGTTTTGAATATCATTAGTTGCAACTGTATTTTCATATTCTAACTAAACTGCAGTTTGTATTCACACCTCCTTGCATACTTTTTTTGCTTATACTGGAAAAAAATTTAATTATTTTCCTTAAGACATTAATTAACACGCCATATAAGTGACAGGTCATGAAGACCTGTGTGGTTTAATTAATAATAAACTTGATTGAGTTTTTTTTTCTTATAGCGAATTTCCCTATAGGGAAGTAGCTGTTACCATAGGTGGCACGGTAAGACCTAGGCCCAGGACTGATTTATTTTTTCATTTTGATGTCCCCAGAACCCAAAAACACCAGCTATTCAAGATTTTTTCATCTATATCCATATGTATATAATATAGATTTATTATGTGACTGTGAAAACGATAACTGAAATAATTTTTGTATGATTTTGATGAAATTCGGCTTGAAGGTGTAGGGCGTGATAAACTTGAATGCGTTAACGAAACACCATGATCAGACACCGAGAAGTTGGGAAATTTTGTGTTTTCAGGGTCAAAAATGAGAGAAACCAATTCCATAGCTGTGTATCTTGTATACTAGTCTTCTGTTAGAATTTTTAAATAAGCTTTTCTGACTTCGCATGTTTAATTTCAGAAAAAGTAAAAACTCTTTTTTAACATTCAAGTGGGTTTCTATTTTATTCAAAACTATTTACCATTCAAATACTAATTTTATTATTTTGTTAAAATCTTTTTAGTGGGTTAAAATTGGATTCTCTCATTTTCGACCCTGAAAACACAAAATTTCCTAATTTCTCTCTAGACCATTTTGAAGAGCTTAAAAAACCAATAATTTATAGTGGTATGTTTAAGTTTTTTTTACAATTATTAGTTACGGAGAAAATTAAAAAAATTGGGAATTTAAAATTCCTATGTTAATCTTATGGAGAATATTGAATATTGTAAACTGTTGCAGATTGCTTGTTAATTGATATATTTTGATTAAACTTGGTAAATTTATTTATTTTATGCTAAGCTATTATTAATATTCTACTAAAAACATACTTTATTATCCTCCCTGTAGTGGCAAACCTAGGTACTCGTTAAACCTATTAAAAAAAGAATTTATTGGAAATCAAATCAGGCAAATGAAAATTTGCTTAGACTGCAGGTTTGCTGTGGCAGGGATATTTAAATGTTCAAATATTGAGGATTTTTGTAAAAATTTGGCCTTTCAGATACACAATGGCTGTGGGAAGTGCTGTCACGAGCTTCTTCGTCCTAGTCGTAGTTCTGCTGTACAGTGCCATGGTATGGAGAAGTCTCGACCAATACTTTAGAGATGAGTTCAAAAAGCACCTCCAACAAGACAAAAACTATCAGAAGATGCAACAAGAGAAATTGGAAATGTTGAAAGAAATGGATTCTATGGAGGAGAAAACAAAGTTTGATGAGGGTTTTGTGCCTGACCAAAAAGAGGGGTGTAGCAGGGAGAAAATGCCTGCAGACAAATATAAAAATCAAGAAAACACTGAAGATTACGTGGATGATGGTGAAATGTGCCCTTTTGTGCTTCCTTTGAGTGTAAACGATGATGATAAAGGGTGAAGTACAATAATCGTGTTAGAACTTAAAATCTCATAAAGTGCTAGATTAGTTCTCCATAATCGATTGTCCCTGTTCCACCATGTGTAGTTTTGAAAATTGTAAATGTGTTTACAACCTGTAAATGTTACCGTTAAGATACTGTTTATGAATTAAATGTTGAATTTGGTTTTCCACAAAAGTTTACGTAAACCTTGAAACCATCCACTAACTTTCTGGCTTCAATTTATTATGAGCTGGAAGAATTTGGTGTCCAAGGTTCCTAATTAGTGCAGCAGCTAATCTCCACCCAAAATAGTGGTTTGAAAGTAATGGTATCAGCCTTGGAATACAAACAATCTTTTTAGGATCTGCTTTCCAGTAAAAGTGTTGATTCTGTCATGGAAACAAAATATTACTGGTGTGTACACTAAGGTTTAGACAGTCTCAAACAAACATATAGCATAGGTGGTTAGGTTGATTCATTAGTATGACTGGTATAGCTTGAAAATGGACTCAAATAGGTTCTTAAAAGGCTGGAAGTATTGGCTGATGTTTTGGTTTTACTAAAATGTTTGGCCTGCCGCACCAGGCCAAAATGTCCGTCACTTTCTGGATAGCCGTCATTTTGAACATTTCACTGACCTTTGTGTGATTACTAACAATGTCATCACATTCATTTAACTTTATACCTGAGGTGTTTTAAAGTTGGGTTGAAAATAAAAATATAATTATAAATAGTATAAACCAAATTTTTTACTGTTTACAAAATACAACAGGACATTTTCCTTTTGAGGTAAATACAAAAACTATAATATATACTAGTAAAGCAACAATTATGTCAAAAATATGTTTGGAAAGAATAGTTAAAATAATTTTCAGTACATTAACAAATTTACAGATTTATAATGAGTATAAAAAACACAAAATACACATTTACAACATAATATAAGGTGATAAACTATTTAAGTAGAGTAACAATATATTTATATAGATAATTTTGTTCGTTTGTAAACACTAAGCTTACTCTGAGGACCTGTAATGTTAAGAATACAATTTTTTATTGATTAGCCTTTAAGGTTTTTAAAGGCACTTTATCTTTTAAGTAAAAAATAATAATACCTTGTAATTGTATTCAATATGATGGAAAATCCGTAAACCCCATCTCATAATGTTGTAAATTAGCTATAATAAAATACTGACAACAAGTAAAGCAGGGTATATGTTTTAAATACTGTCACAGAAAATACTATTCTCTATTGACAACAGAACTGATAAGTCTAACTTCAACCAAATTAAAACCCAAAAAGTAAATTCATTCATCAATCAATTTTTTGTAACAAAGCCACAACAAAAGGAAAAATTTGAGAGGGTACATTAAAAAAATGATTGCGTAACAACAATAATTAATTTTTTAATTTAATTTAGCAGATTTTTAAATTTTTTAGCCCTTACAAAAATATTTTGCAGGCCTCAATTAATTTTTAATCCGCCACCCAATTCAAAACACCAAAAATGTTTCCATAATTAACATATTTTTTAAGAAGAAAATATTTCAAGATCCCACCTTCAAAAGATTGAATGTGCACAGCTATAAAACAATGTTTTCAAAATATATTTTTAATGTTTTTAAAATTTTGTTTTAATTATGCTGAGATTTTTTGCGTTTTCAGGAGTTTTGAACCATCTCTTTTACCAAATTTTAAATCACAATTTGATTATAGTTATTTTTCAATTAAAAAAGATTAATAAAGAGAAATCTCAGCTTTTTTGTAATTGTTAACCAAATACCCTTAGAAAGTGGATTTGTGATGGATTCTTGATCGGTTTTGTTTAGATAAAACTTACAGTTTACAAGTTAACTAATTGCTCACTTGTGCACTCTCCGTCTTGATCGTCTTGGACTAGGGATTTCATTTATGACTGGACTTTCTTTCCTTTTTCGTTGATTCCTTGTCCCAGGTTTCCTCTGAGGTATTAACACTTCTTCACTGTCCCCTTGTTCTTGATCTTCTGTGTTGACCACAAAGTCTGGATCATTGTCAGGGTTTTCTGTCCCTTCAACTTTCTCGGTAAACTCCAGTCCACAATTTTCAGAGGTTCGTTCGACTTGATTGCACAACTCAGTATCTGGAAGGAAATTAAAACATAGATAATGTATATGAAAATAAATGGTATCAGCAATCTGACACATGCTTTCTCCCATAAGCTTGTCAACAACCTTTATCATGGGTTTCTATGAGGTGGGAATATGGTTTTATAGGGGAAATCACAAAAGTTGCAATAACTTTTGAACCGTAATTGTTACAGCAATGGGGGGTTGCACTTGTTTAGAATTATAGGGACCATAACACATTAATTTTAATCAAACCAGCTTTTTTCTTAATATCAAATGTACACATCCACACACACAGACATAACTTCGAAAACCACCTTTTTGGGTTCAGGGGGACACAAAATGGATATATCGACTCAAAACTCAAATGTTGACGAAAAAAATACTTTCTCCAATACTATCGTATAGGGGGAGAAAGTAAAAAACAATCAATGTTTACAAAGTCACATAGAAGTCAAATGAAAAACTAGGTAGGCTAATATTTGAATCTTTGCTGATCTGGAGCTACATTACAAGAAATTGGTAAGAAATTTCAAACTTTAAATATCCTATTATTAAAAAATATGTCAAGTAGAAATGTTAACTTGATTAAATTATTGCTGTACAATGACCAATGATAAGTTTGATGAGCTTTGTACAGATGCGAGGAGGATAACTACAGTTGTGGGTAGGTTACGGTAAACCAAGGGTAGGGTCCGTTTCCTGAATACAACAAAAACATGTGATATTGTGATTTCTCTTAGGATTACCGCAAACTTCATTCCGAATTTCATGCAAATTTGCAGTAATTTTTAACCAAGCCACAATTTTCCATTGTTTAATTTGTACTAGAGGTCGTCCAGTGGTTGAAAACTAGACCAAAAATGTAATGTACGGACTTCCCTATTTTTACTTTCACCCCACGCTATAAATAAAACATGTGATAGGAATTTCTTCCATTTGTTTTTATTTTCTGTTTATATTCCGTTGTAATTACGTCACCAGCATGGCAACCCATAATAACTAGTTAATTTTTAAAATTTTAAATTAGTTTTATTTTTGAGCCAATTTTAATTTATAAAGGGATTTAGCACATCTACAAGAAAATATCTTTACGCCACACTACACTATTTTGACGAACTTCCCACGCATGGATTTAGTCCAGAAAACAGCTGTTTGCCGCCAGCTTAATCAAATGGGGTTTCATTACGTACTACTGTACTGCAATGAGTTTTACCGGACACCAATCAGCTGATTATACTGTATTTAGGTGGCAATGAGTGTTATAAACAAACACACCTCTCTTAGAGGTTATGACTAGTGATTTTTTGTCCTTTAGTTGGTGGTAATATATAAGGATCTGTACAGATTAAGTAGTATGGCGTAAACTATCGTACATCACTCGTCCAAAATGTGTGTACTGGACCCGTATGGTAATCCCGTAATCGACTTCGTCTCGAATGGGAATGATCACACTCATCCGGTAAACAATTATTTTCAGGACTAGTAACGTAATATACTATTCTAACAGGATGCGTTGCGTATATTTTCCCTGCGATGCACAGGAGCTGAGAATAAAGGTTTTCAAGAAACATGATTGCCTATTTATATTTAGATTTCTAATTTTAAAGCCAGTAATAAAAGACCAGCTGATTGGCTTGTTAACAATAGTCAGCTAACACCAAACTCAATCCTTGGTTTACAACGGCCAGTCCACAACTATAGTTAAAACACATCATCAATCATTAACTTATGTTTTTATTAAGTTATCATAATTAAAACTTAACTTACCTAAATTTTGATCTATGAGAATACTAATACTATTGTCGCTTTCACTCTCCGAGTGGGTTCTAATTATACAACTAGGTGCTGGAGGTCTGGAGGGGGAAGAGTTAAACAAATCTTCTGCATCACAAAAATCATCACCTTCATCTAACACTCTTGCACTTTCTTGAAACTTGGTGTCTTCTTCTCCATAACATTCTAGCTCATTCGCTTCAGCCTCAAAATCATCCCCCTCATCCAACAGGCTCACACCGCAATCTTTATTAGACCTATCTTTTTTAAAAGTTTTTGAATCATGGTTGATGTCTGGTTGGAAAATATCACAAATAGAATCATCCGAGAGCTGGTCAAGATTTTCAGGAGTGACCGTTTCTGCAGCTCGGTCATTTTCTACAGCTTTGGTAGTCCATGAATCAAGTACAGGCGATGAAGATCTTGAACACAAGTCAACCAAAATTTCTAAAGGTCCATTTGAATTGTTAGATATCTTCTCACGATCCTTCGTCTTCCGATCGTCTTCACCCTCATCATCACTAGAGAGCCTGTTTATGGGTCGCAAGGGTTTAATGTTACGTCCTTCCCTCTGTCGCATAGCTTCAATAAGTTTCTTGAAACTGTCCTTGTTTTCTTGAACTGAAAATAATTAAAAAGTTTGATTTTTAATCAAAAATAAACAAAAGTAAGTACAAAATCTCCATTAACTTTTTTGGAACTTTTTTGTCAATTCACTACAATTACATAGTTTGTACATAACTATGTACAACCGAAGTTTTTAGTTACATCTTGGTTCTAACCTAAACTAACCCAAAATAACCTCATCCTAAATAGGATTTTTAGATAGTTACAATATTTAACCTGAAAAAAATATAGTGGTTGTGAATTAACAAATAAAGTCAATTTTTGTTTTGATTCTTGTTTGTGTCTATTACAATAAAAACACTAACACCCTAGAAAAATGTTGTATTTATTTAATAAAATGAAAGAAACAGAGAATACATTGTAGTTTCACGAGGTTGACGGCCTCTTTTAACCTTACATTTGCTCATCCATATAGGGCTTGAGCTGTGTGAAACGTATCGGGCCAAGCAAGAGGAGAGCCGGTACAGTACAAGGTTGAACTGAACTGATAAACTTGGTGGCAGATATCAGGATCCGAACACAAGATATCGCTGTCATAGATTCAAACTCTGTCACATTAACAACTGAGCCACCAAAGTACTGCCAACCTAACGTGCTAATTATTTATTCAGCTCTGTAACCTTAATGATCTATTTAGGATTATTTTGTAAGTACCGACTATTAGAGAAGGGAAGGGAAGATGGAAGGGGAAAAGTTCTACATCAATCAAACAAATAATTTGTATCTTGAATCCAAAACTACCAATTGATATAAGATGTCAAGACAGTAAAAAAATTAAATGATAAATTACAAGTATTTTTTTCCTTTCTAGGATTACATTTTACATACGGTAGACCTAACTTTGTAGCAGTATGTTATTGCATTTTAGGGAAACACATAATCGACTCTTATTTTAGTACTAAGAGCAGAATGGAATTGTTCACTTACTGTACTTATTATTTTCCTCTTCAATGACCTTGGGATCAGATTTCTTGGTGACAACTCTCTGAAACTAATATGTTGAGGTAAATATTAAAAAAAAAACTCAACATAAAGACAAAGAACATACATGTTTATTAACACACAGAAGCTCTCAATAAAAGCTTACTTGAAAAAATAACAAGAGTAAATTATTTTGTTAAATTTTTTAGAATAGCCCAATGGAGTTTGCTGGACCATTGAGAATAATTTTAGAACCCTTGATGATTTACGTGTAGTGCTCTTTGAATCTTGTTTGATAGTAGAGAAACAGGGATTAAGATAAATCTTTTACAAAAACAACAAAAATACCAATGAATTCATTTTACAAATTAAACCCCATGAAATTTCCACCAGTGCTTACTAAAAAAAAACAATATTAATTGTTCAGAATAAGAAAACACATATACCCACTCAAGAAAAGTGTATACAAAGAATATCACAAATATAAGAGTTAATGTTTAAAATAGGTTACCTGTAGAGGTTGTGGATTTTGTTGTTTTTCTTCTCTTTCTACTTGCCGAATCAAGTCTGCGATGGATCTTGGATTTGCAGAATCACATTCTGAATTGTATAGAACAATATACCTGTGGCAGAAACAACTAACAAATGTAGAAACAATAAATTAACTGCCATAGAAAACTTGATATCAAACATAGTAAAGTAAAAGATTAAAAGGGAGCGTTTATGTATGGATGTCAAAAACAATTATATCAATATTCCTCAAGAAGATTTTAATAGTTAATTTCTAGTTTCAATACAGGAACCTATCTACATTTTAGTATTTAGGGCAATAAAACCAAATATGATTAAATATACTGTATTTTTATGATTATTTTGTCTCATCTTACCTTTGAATCCTTGCAATTAGAGATTTTTTATCACCTTGCGTGTTCAGGCCATACTCTTTAAGTTTCTTTCTCAAATCTTTTTCCGCCATCATATGCCACACCATTTTGGCTAACGGCTTTCTTTTAGGTACATTCTTCACAGGACTAAAACAGAATCAAACAAAAATGATTTGCTTAATTGCGACACAATAAAAAAAAAAAATAAATAACTCCTTTGTATTTACAATCCGATACAGGTTTTTAAATTAATTTTAATATTAATTTTTTCTGTTTAAAAGTAGTTATTATAGAGTACAGTAATATATCCTTAGGAAATATACCTACATTAATCAAAATGATTAATACACAGGTCTGGTAACATGTTAAACAACACTGTTTTATGATAATACTATAATTAATTATTTTACAAGTATCTTTTTTTACCTACTGATCTGAGGGGTTGAACTGGTTGATTTCAACTGATGATTCTCCTCCCCCCCTCACAACATTGGCAATAATTTTAACTACCGTTAAATGGTGTTGGTGTCCCAAAACATTTCCTAAACCAGTGTCTACTAACTATTTAAAAACATCTTGTGTGCATTGCCGCCAATTGTAAAGACTTAACTGATAACAACTTGAGTTATATTGTATCATTCATATTTTAACCCAAATACGAGCCAATGATGGGTGTGGAATGGAGTGAGATGATCTGTGTAACTTTGTTAACTGACTAAGATACGCAATTTCATTAGTCAGGACCATTTGCTTAAAGCCCAATGATCAGGAACAGCTGGGTCCAGTTTTAAACCGGATCAGAAAGCTACCAGTACTGGATTTTTCAGGATTCTCTTTGTTCTAAAGCATTAAATAATGTAATGAGTGTATTATAGCCATATGATGACAATTACAACTATCGTAATGGCCAGCCACAAAGATCTCAGATAATGTTTCTCAAACAATTATTAAATGACAGCCTTAATGACAAAACTTTTACTTGTTCACTACATTGTTTGAAAGTACCATTTATGTTGGCTTTGCTTATATCTTACAAAATTATAAGTTTTGTAATGCTCCACAACTGGGGCAAAGAGAATACTTTGTAAGGATTGCCTGGGTAGCCTAGTGGTGATAGTGTTCTCCTTCAAATCTGAAGGTCGCTGCTGGTACAAGGGGGTTACTGAACCTAGATGTAATTTGTCATCTGGGCTATCAACTATGATGCTATCTAACGATAAGGACGCCAAACATAGTAACAAAACCAGGGTTTGAATCGTTCTCTTAAAAATTTCAATAGCATGGATAAATATTTAAAAGAAACAACTAAGAATACCCAAAGCTGTAGCCTATAGTATATGGTTTCTCATAGTAACTCCTACTTTAAGAATCTACTTTATTCTCACTGCTTTCTGCAAAGTACTAACTATTGATATAATTAGTTCAGAATAAAAACGCAAGTCAGTATTACCTTCTTGCAGGTTTGTCTGCGTTCGCCAAACAATTGTCAAGATGAGTATTAATATTCCTCTCAGGTATCCCAACCAAACAAACAGGGCAAGTAACCAGTGGGACATCCGTTTTGGCTTGGATCGAGGTCGGTTCCTTCAGGAACATTGTGGGAACTGTTGGTATGTTCAGATCATGGTCTTCAGATCCAGGAAGAGGAGTGGAGTCTACATCGTGGCTACAAGTAGGCCCATTGGTGGCAGGAGATCCAAGGATGTCCTCTAATCGCTTTGAAATTTGTGATTTCTTCACACTTGAACTAGGAGTGCTCATCAAAGAAAAGTTTAACTTCCCTTTGGATGAGGTTGCCTGTGTGGATACATTTTTACCGTTCTTTGGCGTTTCAGTAGGTAAGCCTATCTTCTTTGCCGTACTGTTCTTAGGCGTTTCAGTAGGTAGGGCTATTTTCTTTGTCGTGTTACTTTGTGAAGGTGTCAGGGTTGGAACCGGCTTTTCATTACAGTTGAGAACTGCTGCGATTTTCAACTGTTTTATTAGTTTATCCCGTATGCGAAGAAATAGTTCAACAAGTCTGTCTAGTATCCTGTTATTTCTTAAGCTTGTTTCAAAAACTTCTTCGAAACATACAGGGCAGGCTGTTTTGAAAGATAGATATTTCCGGATGCAGATCGAGCAATCTACAAAAAAGAAACAGGTTAGGGATGTTACAAGTTTTCTGTTTTCTTTATGAACTACAGGTGATAACACTTGACTTTAAAATGGACTTAAAATGTCTTTGATGCAAAGTATTAGATTTTTTCCTTAAGAGTGGGTCCCAGTAAAACAAAATCCCGAAATGGCTGAAATTGGCACACTAGCGCGCGTGGAGTGCAGCGGACATTTGTTGAACTACGTGCGTGGCAGTCTCCTCGACGTCACAGGCATGTATCGATCGATAAGTGACTCACGGCGCGGGCGCGGTGTTGCCGAACCCTCGCCAGGCGCTAAGCAATGTATGGCAACGCCGCATTAGCACTGGCGATGAACGAACTGCGTCAGTGGACTCGACGGCGATTCCACCCTGCTCCTGCTCGGAGTGACGTAGTGCACTAAAGTCACTTCCATCGCTTATTTACTTAGAACACTCGATTTTGCTCACTGCTCTTCGTTGTTAGTGGGTTTATCTAGGGTGGTTATTTAGCCTGTTACAATTTTATATCATAGAGAATGCTATGGGAAAATAATCAGTTTTGAAACAAAAGTTTTGAAGTGAAACAAGGATCATACAAAATTTTCTAAAGCAATAATTGAAATTTCTTATTAAAACCCTATAGTTTATCATGTTTTCGGATAGAACATGCAATGTAAACACTTTTTTATTCGTGATATTTATTCCATAAACCCACTAGTTTAGGAGATACAGCCTATGAAAAAATGACTTCCGGTCTACTTTTTGTATCATGCAGCTCCTAAACGAGAAAGTTTAGCGCAAAAATGCGAAGAGTAAAAAAGTGTTGTACGAAAGAAAAATAGTGGAACAATGCTCATGAAAAATAAGCAAAAACAGGGTGAATAATATTTAATTAAATTGATCTGTTATATGTACATGGTGTAACATTATCAATTCTGAGATTACTCAAAAATGAAACAAGTTAAGTAATTACATTAATGAATGGTAAATCGGATCCAACACATGTTAAATTTCTGTATATATTAGGTTAGTTTAGTTTTAGTTTGACTTGAGTAAGTTTGAAAATCATGTATATGAAACTCGCTTGTAAATAAAGGCTTTTTATTTATTTATTATTTATTTATGTTGGAAACATTAGTTGAAGATCAAGTTTTCTAAATAACTTACCAACGTAAATACTGTTCAACTTTACAATCATGGTGGATGGCATAGGCCTAACTAAAACAACACTTGACAAACATACAATTTGTGAAACATTTACACTAGGCTTGTAGAACATCACAAAATGAAGTTATTTGCAATCTGTTTAATGCATAAGTTACAGATTTTTGTGATAAGTTACCGATGACGTTAATTGTGATAGTTGTGATACTAGATACAGTTATGGAACACCTGCTTAGCATATAATAATAATGCAAATATTTTTTTTTCAGTTATTTGAGCAAATTTTTTGTAGTTGAACAATTTAAGGGGGGAAGATGAATTAATCTTTATAATTATAATAACATCAGCAATGTTAATTAATTCATCTACATTCAAATACCGGTATCCTCCTCAACTCCCAGAAAATCAATTCAACAACTTGAGGCCTAAACATAATCATAGTATCAAAAGTATTTATTGCAACCATTGCAACTGTCCGCTCCTCTTTGACCGATTGAAAACGTATATTATCAACAACCACAGATAGTTCAGTGCTATGATAAGGAATTCACAGTCTGGAGGTCCCGGGTTCAAGATCCGCTGGGGAAGATAATTTTGATTCTAGTTTTTTTCTCAAAATTTGTTTTTATGAACTATTTAATCAAAATGCTCAACTGATATATATGCATTTCACACAAAATCTTTATCATTTCGTGTTTAGGATATGCCCATGGGATGGCTGGTCCTATGTGAAAACAATTTTCAACTTGTTGCAAAGTCAATTTTAAAATTGTTGTCAAAACAGTTTTTAAATTGTTGTAAAACTGTTGCAATATAGTTGTAAAACAATTTTTAAAATATTTTAAATTTTGCCGGTTGTTAACTATACTCATATTAATAACAGTTTTAATATAAGTTTAAAATTGATATTAAAACAATTTTTTTCTCGTTTTTCTGCTACTTGGGACATCAACATTTCTTATAATACTTAAAATTTCTTATAAAACTTATCTTCTATTTCATTTTAATTTCAACCCCCACACTCCATTGTCAGTCCTTTCCATTATAACGTTAAGCCTTTTAAATTTCATTGCATCTTTGTTCATTTGTTTCAATAAAACACCTTTTGTAATTCGTATATATTTTTTTAACTTATTAACTTATTTTTATTTAACTTTGTTAACTTATTAACTTTAAACATTGATAGAATAGGCCTAGCCTAAATGAATATTGTGAGATGAGTTTACAATTTCGGGAAGTAAACATTTCATATTCATATAAAAGGTTTCAAGTTTTTCTTTCATGTTTACTTCCCAAAAGTCATCGTCCCGATCAATTTTTACAGTTTTTAGACCTTTTGGTGTCCAAATGGCAAGTTTCCTCCCAACCTTTCGAAATTAGTTCTTCATGTTTGTCATACGTTTTCCGGTTCATGGCACGAACATTCATTGCAGACAGCAGCCGTTCTAAGGCGACAAATCCTCCACCATTGGTAATAGAACCGGCTACTGCTGCACTGTTTATGTCCATTGACATTGCATCTCCCCGAGGTTCAGGCCCGGCGCATATTGAGACGCAGTCGGAGCAGCACAGCGTAGTGCAGCGCAGGGCAGTATTTTGTAAACCATGTATTTGCTAGGACACGCGCATATTATGGCGCAGCGCAGGGCAGGGCAGTGCAGTCCCGCACGTGGACTGCGCGCACTTGTGATCGAGTCACAAGTGTCTGTGCCGCATTGCTCACCTGCGCCGGGTTTACTAGTGTTTTGTGACGGATCTAGAGGATAATTAATAGAAATTGTGCGTTTTTATCCAGTTTTTACGTTACCAGTCATAGTAAGTATATAAAGAGTAATTACAAGAATGAAATCTGGGAAAAAATACGAAAATCACTAAACTTTGTAAATTTTTTCGCCCATTTTTTCTTGTTCTCTGGTGAAGAAGAAACAATAAATCTAGATCAGAACCTGAATCTGAATCAAAACTCAAATCCTAATATTTAACTTAACAACATGTTCATACGAGAAACTGTCACTCCTATACGAGAACTGTACGACACTGCTTCCCAATATGCGATGTCAACTGTGCAACACAGACTTTTTGCTCAATTCTGCCCTGTGCTGTGCTGCACTGCCCGGACCGTGCCGCACAGCTCAATATGCGCCTGGGCTTAGAGGTAACAAATTTCCATCCTCTTCCCCACAGCTCATCGCCTCATCAGCAATCAGCTCCTCAACATCACTACTTAGTTTTCTTTTTCTACTTCCCACAACACCAAAATCTCTCAATATTCTCCACTCAGCCAACCTTTCACCACCTCTGTTTTTCGCCTTTCTTCGCAACGGTCGTTTTTTATTTCCTATAATACCACACCCGTAAATAAAAAGAAGCACACGAAATGACTTTCTACATTTGTAAGTAAGTAGCACTACGAATTATTACTAGGGAACTCTAAACGTCACTGGACTTGTGGACACAGCAGACCAAATAGGTTGCTAGCCTAGAACATAACCTCACAGTTCACAATAATATCTGGGATGGAATTGGCACGTTTTTTTCAACATTATCACGTGACTTGCGAAAATAAGAAATATAAGGTGTAGGGATGGGGCGAGTGCAATGTGTCTCGTGGTTACAGTGTGTACGGCCGAGACGTCGGCCAAGGTGGGAGGGGGTAACTATCTGTGCTGTGATCGACCTAGAGGTTTAGGAGATTTCCTTCCCTACTGATAACATCTTGTCTCGGTGGTGGTCGGTGGTGTAGTGGTTAGCGCACCGGAGAAACGATCTAAAGGTTACCGGTTCGAAACCTCAGGAGGCACAAACTTTTTGATTCGATTTCTTCATTATCGTTATAGTTTATAGTTTGGATAGGTTATGACAGTTTGATTTTATAATTATAAATTATGTTATTGAATTTTAGGCATTTAAAATTGTATTTTATAAACAGAACAATTTTTTATACCAGCAGACTAATTCGTTCAAAAATACATCTGTAAATATTAGTTAAATTATGAAATTTGCCCGTTATCACATGAAACGAATATAATTTAATGCCTTAAATGTATATATTGTATTAAAATATTTTATATTTCTACTAAACTGTATCTAGTTTCCAATCATTGCCTGGGACAGGAAGGCTCTGGCATATCATTTATATTGATTGTACACATGTTGGTTTTGTACTTATATCAGTATAGAACTAAGAAATAGTATTTGATAAATTTACAACATATTTTATACTTGTATTCAAATTTAAAATGTATTCAACACCACACCATTTCTTACTGTCCCCAGTTCATTTCCTTTCTTTCAATAACTATAACTATGACAACAATAATCATAACAATAATTTCGTAACGATATTTGTTCCACATTAAATAAAAAAGCTATAAAATTAGCAGCGCATGATGAATGTAGAACCATAATAACCTGATTTGAACTCCCGCCAAATGCGCGAGCGTGCTGCTATCTCACGGAGAACTGCCAGACTACTACGCCGAATTACCGCCGCGACGCGCAGCAAAAACATGCATTTTCTTAAACCATATCACGTGCACAGTTTACGTCGGATCTTCTTGAAACAAACTTTATTCGATAGATAATTAAATTTTGTAGGGGGTTTGCTTTTTCGAATTTCAAATATTCCTTTAGAAAATCCTCCACAAATTTGTAAACTTAAACAAGCGTATTTTTGCTATAATTATTTTAATATTTCTTTAATCAAAAAAATAAAAAGCAAACCCCCTGTAGAATTGTATTCTCTTTCCAATGACACATCAAACGTAGTTCTATGTTAAAAAATAACGGCGCTATATGGTTCAAAAGATTACATTGTTCTTATGGGGCATCAATCCAATATGGCCGACTGCTACTGCCCACTCTTAAGAATAAAACTATTATTTTCTCACTAAGAAGTATTTTTTTTTAGAGAAGTTTATTTAGAGTAGACATGTGCAAAATGTATATAAAAATAACTTTTTTCAATATTATGACATTATTTCGTCACAGGCTATGGACCCATCCAGAAAATTTAGATAGGCATGTTTCATTGGATAATTACTCCAACGCAATCTTCACTTTCAAAACATAATTAGGTAAAATAATTTGAGTTAAAATATATAATTATATTAAGGAAACCTCCTAGATTCCAACACTAGTAAGTTAAATCAACCCAGATCGCAATTAAGGTATCCTTATCATGCTTACATGAATGAGCGCATGGTGTGACCATTACAGTTTTGAAGTATTCATAGCAGATTCCGCAGCGAAGGCAGTCGTCGATTAACTGCAACAAAACAATTCAATTTCATTCAGGGTGTCTACTACATTCTGGATAAAAAATTCATGGACAGTTCCCGTACATTTAAGGACACTTTGCCGTAACCTTTGTCGATGTCATTACCGAATAATTTTCCTGATTTGTCAAACTCTATTAATCTTGTGATTCACTGTAGTTGTACCAGAGTGAAAAGTAAATAATAATAGATAAGAGTTAAATTTCAAAATAGAAATTTATTGAAAGTAAACAAACATAGGCCTACCTATACTTTAGGTAAAGCTTTTATAGTGTAACAGAGAAACGCAATCATTGTCTCCTGCGATAGCGACAAATATCTCCATCGGTCACGGAAACATCATAACATAGCTTAAACTGAGTAACAATGAGGTTATAATAGCAGCAAAGTCACTATCATCATTCTAGTTCATAAGATTTAGATTGCTTAAAGCATACAACTCAATAAATAAATATGGGAAACAAAAAAAATTGAAACTTGAATAGCCAACAATGTAAGACAAAGATACAGAAAATGCAATGACATAATTTGAAACCAAGTAGGCCTACATAGCGATAAAACATTAATGCAAACAACAATGCAAGTGGTTTTGTCAATTGAAAGATAAAATATCTATAAAAAAGGGTTTAACTTACAAAATAAGACTGTAGATTATTTACATGTTTAATATGAAACCATAAACAGTTTTATGATGGCACTAGGCAATGGCCGCGGCAAAAGTAAGAAGTGAAATTTAACAGCCATTATAAAACTAAAATTGAAACTTTGCAAAAACATTTATGACGACTAGACAAAGCTACAAAAAAATTATGGACATTTTTAAAATTCAAAAAACAACATGGCGGCCATTTAAAATTTAAAATTTTGTTTCTTAAATAACTCAAAAACTGTTGAGTTTACAAAAAATTTACAATAATAACTTTTTTTTAAGAAAATTAAATTACAAATCGATTGACACCTTAATCTTTAAGATTGGATGAATATTAACTGAGATATGACAGTTTTAGTAATACGTGACCGCTGGAGGTTAAGTGTAGTGCATGCCGAGGCATGCGGCCTAAGTCTGCCACAACAATGCAACAGTCTCCGTCCACTTTGCAAGTTATTTTTAAACAATTTTAGATAATTTCAAAGAATAATAAAATATTACATAACCCCAAAAGTGTTTTTTAATCAATTATCAATCATTAGGATGGCTTGAAAATTGCACACATTTTTACTGTCTTTAAAATTCACACTTAACACCCAAACGAGTACACTTTAAAAGTGAATGTAAAAAGTTAGAGGAACTGACTCCATTGAATAAACAATAACATCTTCAGACAACAATACAATCAGCTGATTATTTTGTAAACAAGTACGTTGACTTTCACCACAGCTGATTTAAAAAGTTTGGGTGTTAAGTGTGAATTTTAAAGACAGTAAAAATGTGTGCAATTTTCAAGCCATCCTAATGATTGATAATTGATAAAAAAAATACTTTTGGGGTTATGTAATATTTTATTATTCTTTGAAATAATCTAAAATCGTTTAAAAATAACTTGCAAAGTGGACGGCGACTGTTGCATTGTTGTGGCAGACTTAGGCCGCATGCACTACACCTAACCTCCAGCGGTCACGTATTACTAAAACTGTCATATCTCAGTTAATATTCATCCAATCTTAAAGATTAAGGTGTCAATCGATTTGTAATTAAAATTTTGTTAAAAAAGTTATAGGCTTACTTGTAAATTTTTTGTAAACTCAACGGTTTTTGAGTTATTTAAGAAACAAAATTTTAAATGGCCGCCATTTTGTTTTTTGAATTTTAAAAATGTCCATAATTCTTTTGTGGCTTTGTCTAGTTGTCATAAATGGTTTTGCAAAGTTTCAATTTCGTATCTCTTACCACTTTTTAGAAAACAATTAATAAGAAAAAAAAAAACAAAATGGCGGCCGTGTGAGTAACTAAGGACTTCCAGTCAATTTAAATATTATGTTTGGATTTGTTTCTTACCCAGGAACAATACCCTAAAATATCCAACACAAATTCTGAAACACCCTGTATAAACTACAAACTCAGGGAAAATATTAACTCAATTTGATTTGATTTTTCTTACTGGGATTTTTTTAAATAGATTCCTAAACTTTTCAATTACATCTAGTTACAGTTTTGTTTTAATAATACTATACCTGTTTAAAAAAAAATAGATAAAATGTTTAATGTGGTAATCATCATTTTTCAATTGAGATGGGGAAGCCATCTAGGTGCGTATTTTAACTCAAATATGAGAGAAGGACGAGCGTAGAATGAAGTGAGATGCCCTTTTGTAACTTTGTTACTAAGACCAGCTGTTTCATTAAACTTAGTCAGAACTATTTATTAAAAGCACAATGATTAAGGACAGCTGGGCTCAGTTTCGAACCAAAGCTATGACACTTTCCTCAAGGTCGAACCGGCGACCTTATGATTGCTAGGCAAGCTCTATTTACTGAGCTACCGTGCTATTTCTAAAAATATCAAGAGAATCCTCCACTTAAGAAACAGCTTAGTTTAAATTAATAAATAAGTAGCAACTTGTACTTGCACAAAATAGATTACTTACTTTTAGCTCTGAAAAGTCCTTTGGCCAGCAGATATCAGGACCGAAAGACAATGTATTAATATTTTCAATTTGCATTTTTTTTTATGATGGGGAAACCTGAAAAGTAATGAAAGAATACGAATTGGAAACATACGATAAAGTATAAAAGACTACACATAATATACTGGTACTATACATAAGTTATGTCTTGAGTAATATTTTCTCGTAGAAATTAAATTACCGGTATTCTTAACTTATTGTTTTTAAATTGTAGTTTTTTAATGGTCCGCTCTTATCTTATTATTTATATTACCACCATTTTGCATTTCACATGTCTGCCTGCACCCTATAAAAAATGTAGGCTATTGTTTGTAAAATGGTTCTTATTAAATAAGTACAGTAGGCCTACTCTATGAAATTTCACGTTATATGATATGATGGTAAAGCCTGGTTTACATTGGTCAAGTAAAAGGGCGTTTAGAAAGGCAAGTTGGTACTCAACTTGACCAGTGTAGACAATTTAACGAGTCAAGTGACAAGTGAGTCGAGTGCCAGACCCAGCTGGCGGACACGTCGAGTAGTTTTGGCCGGGAAACAGCCACTCGACCAATTTTGAGCACTTGCCCTTCTCCTACTACCATGTCTACTGTCTCAAGTCGCATTTAAGCAATCTTATATATATGTTTTTGTTATTTTTAAGTTGATATAAATAATATTTTGACATGAAGTGGACAGAAGAGGAAACAATAAAGTATTTTGAGTTGTATCGTGATGCAGAATGTTTGTTAAATATCGCAAGCCCTACTTACAAAAACAAACAAATGCCACAAACAGCAATTGACAACCTTGTAAATGATATGGGTAAAGAAGGCCTTCGTGTACAAGAAGCGAAGCAGAAAATTAAAAACATAAGGTCTACATGTAGCCTACAACCAAGAAGGAACTAATAAAAATTTTAAAATTTTCCAAATTCCCTATTTAGGCCTATTTCTTTTTACCAATTAATCAACCTCCTCTACTAACATATTGTACACCCTTTTCAAGCATCTTCGAAATGTAACACATATAATTAGCCTACAGGGCATTTTACGTACCTAAATGAATTATTCTTATTCTTATACGTATAATTTACACAACTGTACATGTACGGTAACCATAAAAATATTAACTTTAGGTAGGTACCAACTAACTTAGGCCTGGTTTACACGGGTCAAGTACGGCGGGCGAGTCAGTGTGCGAGTTGCCACTCGCTCTCTCTCTAGCTCGCTTGTTGTTTCGAATTTAACAGGCGAGTCAAGTAACGGGCGAGACAGAAAAATACCCCCGCCGCAGCAAACCTGCAGGCTAAGCGAGTTTCAACTTGTCTGATTACATATTTAGTAAACTTTTTCCATAAATAAGAAATATTTATTTCCAATTTAAATAGCATTAGATTTAACGAGTGCTTAGGTTTGCTGCTACGGGGAAGGTAAACAGTGTTTTTTGACCAAACCTCAATAGTAGCCTATAGGATGAAATAAATAAATTTGCCAAATTTGATCAAAATATAATCCATAAACAAGTAAACTACAACAGTTTTCATTTTCTCCATAAGAATAACATGGGAATTTTAAATTTGCCCTTTTTTTAATTTTCTCCGTAACTCTTAGGCATGCAACAATGCTTCAATATGGTAAATTATTTCTTTTTTTAAGCTCTACAAAATGGTTGGAAAAGAAATTCCAAAATTTTATGTTTTTAGAGTCTAAGTCTTCATGGGTCCCCCCATAAACCCCCGTTCCCATGGTCCGATCATGCTGGTTCGCGAACTCGTTCGAATAAATGTAGGTTTACACGTTTATACCAAATTTCATCAAAATCGGATAATTTTTGTTCAAGGTATCGTGCTAACGGACACACACATATATATATAGGCTAACTTAAGTAAATGTGAAAGTTTGTGTTTGTTTATTTGTTTGTTTGTCTGTTTGTTTGAAGTTCAATCACGCATTAACTACTGGACGGATTGGGCTGAAATTTGGCATGATGATAGCTCAAATTCCCGATTAACATATAGGCATATTCTTATCTCAAAAATCCTTTCGGGCTCCGCCCCAGTGGCTCTGAAGTTCCCCATGTTAACCTTATGAGTATTCATATTTAAAGGGAATTGTAGAATTTAGTCAGCTGTTTCAACTGAAAAAGTTGGTTATATGATTTGCAAAAGCATTAAAAATTTATAAGATTTACCAACAGGGTGCAGCACTATTATTTTTTTGATCATTTATGAAAACAGCTAATTTGAACTAAGCAGCAGCAAAAAACTGTAATATGAGAACTGTCAAAGTACGATTGTTTACAGTTATGTTTATTTTTTGATTTCATGAATAATTTGTGATATTTAGCAAATTTTTAAAATTTGTTTTTATCTATTGTTTAGGTGAAGTGGTAGAACATTATGACTATTGTAGATGTGTCATACTATAGTATACTGTAAATTTAAAGAAGCAAATTTTATCAAACTGTGTCTTCCACCATTGCAAACGCAAAGCTTGAGTATAACTGGAATAATCATTGTATACTTATATGCCAACCCCGTACGAAGGACAGGTATGACTGCTATATATATATAAATATATATGAATTTGAACGGATGGTGTTTTTGGCCTCTGGGGACCTCAAAACAAAAAAGTAAATCGGTCTCGGGTCCAGGTCTCACTATGAGACCTACGGTAATAGCTTATTCCCTATATGGGAAATTTGCTAAAAAGGTCAGTTGGGGAGCGACTCGAGTGGTTTAGTTGAAAACCGAGTTGCTCGGCCCAGTAACTACCCCCACACAATTTGCCCGCGAAACATCTTTTTACTACTGTCAAGTGAGTGCAGCGACCAGATAATTAAATTTATATTAGCTGAGTGAGTCAGTATTGAGATTAGTTCAGACTTCAGTCAGAGCAGGCCTACTCACTCGACACTCAATGGTTCAGTTGAACAGTTGATTCTGTGTTCTGTGTTGCATTGTCTTGCTGTGGGTGAATCTACTCTTAATAGGCCTAGGCTATTCAGTTTTTAAAATCTTTGTACAACTAAAGATCTGTAGTTCTACTGGATCGATTTGATTAATTAATGGTTAGTTAGAAAGCTCACTCCCTAAACATGTTTTCCATAAGAAGTACATAGAAAACGATGTTTTCAAATTTTTTTTATTTGGAGGCAACTTTTGACTGCCTTTATTGAATTTTTACAAGAAATTATAGTAATTTGTAGCAAATTATATTCTCTTTCAGAATATCACCTTCCATTTTAATTGATTTCCTCACCATTTAAAAGTTAGCCTATTTGCAAAAAAGCTAAGCAACCTCTGAATTTAAGTACAGTATATTGTAGGCCTAAAGTGTTAAATTCAGTTTTAATTTTCTGTAATCAAATTCAGTGATTTAAGTTCTAAATTCAGCATTAAACTCTTCCCCGTGCCATTAAACTCAAACATCATTTAACACGTTATGGCCTACCTTTACCTTTACCTTCCGTCATGAACTTTTACCAGAGAAAACTGGATTGTTCATGTCAATAAAAAATTAAAACAACACGTTTTCAAGCTACAGTAACGGTAACTACAACGGAATACCCTACACTAGGTACACCGTAGAGAAGTAATAAAAATTACTTATTGTTTTAAACTTAGGCTAATCTAAGGCTTACCTTACGATCCAATTGATTTATAGTGGAGACTGGAGGCCTATTGGATCGTAAGGTGAGCCTTAGATTATAACAATGATTAATAACAGTCCAGAGGCTATTTCTAAAAAAAAAAATAATAATTAAGGTACTTCTCTATGCCCCCTGCCTACACTGTCCCTGTCAGAAATAGGAATGCCTGTGAACAGTCAAGTATTGGGCGAGTTTAAACAAATCAACAACTGGGCCGAACAACTCGCCTGCAATACTCGACCCGTGTAAACCAGGGTTTAAACCCACTTTTCTAAAATATGTTAAATAAGCTTAGCCAAGTAACTGGGCCGAGCCATTTCAGCCGAGCTTACTCGACCAATAAACCAGGCTTAAAGATTATAAACAGCAGAGTTGTCCATAGGTTGATCGAAACGGCACACGGAAGATTTCTCAGGTGCCGTTTGACGTCACTAACTGCTGACGTCACTTTGAGGGAACACCAATACCGCAACGATACGGTTATGAACCATCGGCCTCGGTGGTGCAGTGGATAGCGTTGCGGGCTGATAATCCGAATGTTCCGGGTTCGAATCCCGCCGCAGCACTAACTTTTTATCAAAAATTTTTTCATATCAGCAAGTTTGGTTTGTTTGGTTAGGTTATTACAGTTTAATTTTATAATAAAAAAATTAGAAAATTGAATTTTAGGCAATTATAATTTTATTTTATGAACAAAACTATTTTTTAGATTAGTAAACCTTTATTCGAGTTTTCCATTATCAGCACGTTTGGTTAGGTTATGACAGTATAATTTAATAATAGAAAATTATAAAATTGTCTGTTTCTTCAGACGGCAGTTAGCGACGTCAAACGGCACCTGAGAAATCTTCCATGTGCCCCACCGTAGATTGATATCAAATCAAATCAAAACAAAATATCTGTATTCATACAAGACAAGTACATGTTAGTACATCTGAATAGTGTCAACTTAGCTATTTAAATTAACATTTGCTTAGTTATTCAAATACTCTTCTATGGAATATAATACTTTGCAACCCAAGTAATTTTTTAGTTTTAGTTTAAATTTTGAACTGCTTATTTGACACTTTAATTCTTTTGGCAATTAAAAGAATAGGCCTAGCCTAGCCTACAATTGAAAATACCATAACCTAAGGCTAGTTTTGGTTTGATATCATGAATCGGATATCAGAGTAGCCGAAAATAATAAGACCAAATTACCATAATAAGAATAGAATTGCTTGTTCCCTTACGATACACTATAGGATTTAAAGATGAAGCCCATTTCACCTGTGAATGTAGGTTAGAGTACTGAGAGTTCTAGGCCTATTGGAGCAAGTACTTTGGGGGGTCTATTATGAAACAAATTTACCATAAAATAGGTCTATCCTTAAAGCTATTTTTTGCACCAGTAACATTCAGGGAATTCGCCAGTTTTTGAACATTATTAAATTGAATACGAACACAAACATAACCTGTTGGTTGATTTGACTTATTTCAAACTCAAACTACAAACTCAGTCTCCGTACAGAAATAAGAACTAGAACAAAGAATGAAATGAAGCTAGATTGGAATGGAATTTGGAATTGGAAACTTCAACCATTGATAAAACCATAGTAAAAAAAATATACGCATAGACTAACCAACACAAGATACCAACACAAGATGGTCTATGATAAAACCATCGTTTTATCTATCTATGATAAAACATAGTCCTTCACTTGGACTTTGGAGAAAAGAAAGGTAGCCGCGTTTACACCGGAGTTAATAACACGTGTTTTTAACAAAAAGTTATTAACATAACAGAATCGCCCAAAAATTTATCTTAACAAAAGTTAATAACTCGTGTTTTTAACAGAAAATTCCTCGTTATTAACAAGATTTATGTTATCCATCAAAAGTCGGTAAAGATCAAAGGAAATGTGTTATGTTTTTAACAAATGTTAATAACAAAAGTTAATGGTCTCTTTTAGCGCGTTAACTTTTGTTAATAACAGGTCCCTCTATTTTTTCCCCCGCAACCTCCGCGCCCAGCATTGTGCTACAGAGAGCACGCTGGGCGCTAGTCGGCCCTCAGTACCAACTGCAGCAGACGAAACACGTGCGTGGAATCAAATAAAATCATTTATAAGCCAGAATTAACAAAATATTGTACAATTTGTATTGGCTAAGTCATCATTAAATAAAAGTTAGCTTATATATACCATAGATAAAACATACTTTCTTAGTGTTACTTACTTTACTTTCTTGTGTTGGTTAGTCTATGTATATACTTAGGAACTATTTACAGAGGTCTTATACAGTACTTAAAGTTATACAGTTTTATATACATATCTAGGCTAGATCACTATTCATCGAGCTGATTTTATTTACAAATTCTTGGACGCTGTAACAGGTAAACTTAACCAACAAAGATTTTAATTGTTTTTTGAATTTTAACAGGTTTGGTTCAAGTTTAAGAGGAAGTGGAAGTGAGTTAAAAAGTGTTATGCCATTGCACAGTAAGTGCTTCTTGAAAAATGTTGTTAAATGTTTAGAAATTGGTAATGTATGTGAATTGCGCAATGTGTATTGGTTTTTTACAGAAAAGTCAAATTTAGAAAGTTTTTGAAAATTGAAAATTTGAACTGAGTTTTTTTTATGTATTTGATATGGTCATGAAATCTAAGATTCTCGTCTAAGATCAATCCAAGGAACTTGACATTTGGTGTAGGGTGTACCTCAGTTTCGTCCAGAAGGAGACTACTAGCATTCTACTAGTAAAACCACTGTTTGATCGGTTTGAATGATTTGATAAACGGAAGTTAATGAGCTGTGTTTTGTCTGTGTTGATTTTCAATAAACTGGCGGAGTGACTTAATGTTTTTAAGATAAATGTTTTTAACAAAAACTGAAGTACAAAATAATTTGTTAATAACTTTCTGTTATTAACTTTTGTTAATAACTGCCGGTTAATAACAAAAGTTAATTAACTTTATGTTATTAACTCCAGTGTAAACGCGGCTTAAAGGTAAGCTATATAAAAAAAAACTGATCTCCGTCTTTCCCGCCAATTTATTGTGGGTCGTTTGTCCGTTTGTCTCGCCCAACCAAAAACACACAATTAAGAATTAGTATACTATCACGGCCGCCTTTCAGACTCGGCCGGCAGGCCTTAGTCATTGCTTGTATAACACTAGTGTTATATAGTCAATGCCTTAGCCATCCTTCTTAGACGGGTCACACTAGGCTATAATTTCCAACTTGGCTTAACACAAAAGGACAAAAGCAACTGTCTAATTTTTTTAATAATTAGAGGTTTACTAATTCTACTAATTCCTGGCATGTATGTAGTGACATTCTTAAAACCTTTTTGTATGTTTCTGATTAATCTTTTAGTGCGTTTAAAAACGTGGCATTTTTTAAAAAGTATTTTTATTTATAAATTATTTGTATCCAGTGCCTGGTCCACTAAGGTCTCTTCTTACGGTTAAGTATCTTTTAATAAAATTATTTCTTTTTCACACACATCCTCAATATTAAGTGCTGGTTTATGAGCACCCAAAAAGGACGAAAAGGAAGAACTGAGCTTTAAACTAGGTGATTAAAAGTAGTGTATTTGTAGCAAAGTATAAACATCAAATTAAGCAGCTTACAATCAAATTTGTTGCAAAACCTCACAGCTGTTACTTCTCACACATCGTTAATATCACGATCACCAGCGAGCGACTGAAGAAGAGCAGCGTAGTGTGACCCGTGCAAAAGCCGCTGCTTGGTGGTGCTGGTGCCAGCCGCTGATCACTTCACTAGCGGCTGGCGAGTGGCGAGCAGCCTAGTGTGACCCGTGCTTTAGGTTTTCGTTCTCTTTCAATCTCAATCCACTTCAATTGCGATGCACAGCGCAGAATGTACGTAACGTAAACTAACGCTAAACGTAACGTAATCGCTATATTTGTTGTCTTTGTCTTCTTCTTCTTGACACTTGTCACTTCACTTGTCATCTTGCATCTTGTCATCATCCTGCCTGCATCCTCTCAAACGTTCACGTTAGCGTAAAAGCAAAAAAATTCGAAGTGAAACGATTAAATTTTAGTTAATTTTTAATTTAGCATCGTAAGCTTGGAGAATTTGAGATCTGTCTGTGTGCAAATACAATTTTATTTGAGTTTTTGGGCTGTATCCTCCGGTTTTCGTGGGTGAAGTGATGTCTTCTTGTTCATCTTGAACAGTGTCGGCGATTGACATTTAGGCCTAGTTATAAATTAATTTACACTTTCGTTGTTGCAGATACAACTACTCTTGTCATTTATTTTTGTTTAAAGAGGTCACACGTTTTATAACTTAAAGTTGTCCAATTTTGTGGTGGTTAAAATCCTCACAATAATAGCCTAGGCCTAATTACCTACTACTAGTAGGCCTGTCTGAAGTGAGTATACTTAAGTTACTACAGCCTAGGCCTGTTCCAAAATGTTTAATCTGATGAATATTTCTAAAATGCGTAATATTAGGACAGGAAAATGTGATATAAACAAAATGATGAGGCACTCGCCACCTCTATTCCTGGCTTCACAACGGGCAATTCATGAGATCCCTGATAGACTGAAAGAAGTCCCTACTGCAGAAAATCCAAGGTTTTTTGATATGGTTGAATATTTTTTTCATCGTGCATGTCAAATTGCTGAAGATCAATTAGTAGAAGATATGAAGACCAAACTCTCTCTTGAAGACAAAAAGAAGAAAGTTAAAGGAATATTGATGGGAATGCAGCCTTGTGACCACATAATTGAAATCAATTTTCCTGTGCGCCGTGATAGTGGAGATTATGAAATGATTCAAGGCTATCGCGCTCAACACAGTACTCACCGAACCCCTTGCAAAGGAGGTAAGGATGCTTAGCCTCACTGAATAGGCCTACTCTTCTAAATGTAACTTGGGCTAAGTAAGTTAAGTTAATCTTATCTTGTAGCCTAGGCCTATACGTTTTTAAACAAGTTCTTAAGAATTTATTAGGTAGGCCTTAGTGTAAACTAACTTACGGACAGCCCTAGGCATACAACTGTGTTAAAAAACATACCACATGGGTAATTATATCGACCTCCGGACCTCACGTGAAATTAAAATTTTTTTTTTCAAAATGGTCGAAATTTAACTTTTGGGACGGGGCGGGTTACAGCGAAAGACAAGTTGTTGATTTTTTTGTGAAACACCGTGTTATTAAGGGTGAAATTGAATGTCCCAAGTGTGGTGAAGTAATACAGTTGGACAAAGAACTCCTCCAGTTCCGGTGCCGCAAGCGTGTTTCACTAAATAAAAAGAAAAAGGTTCCGTGCGACTGGAAAGGTAGTGCAAAAGCTGGGACTTTCCTCGACCATTCCCGCTTGCCTATTCTTAAAGTTTGGAGGATAGTACTTTACTTGCTCCACCAAAATCCTCCCCGGCAAACTTTCCTCCAAACCACCCTTGACATTGGGCCAAACACAGCTGTTGACTGGTTTTCGTTTTATCGAGAGGTCCTGCAGTTCCACAATAAACAACACCAAAAAAGGTTAGGTGGGCCCGGTTGCGTTGTCGAAATCGACGAAGCAAAATTCGGCAAACGCAAGTACAACCGAGGTAGGCTAGTCAAAGGGCAGTGGGTACTGGGAGGGGTAGTAAGAGGAACTGGGGAAAGCTTTTTTATCCCTGTGCCCGACCGTACCAGGCAGACCCTCGTTAAACTTGTTCGAAAGTACGTCCGACCGGGATCAATAATAATTACTGATTGTTGGCGGGCGTACTATACGCTACAAAGCAGGTTCAGATATCTAACAGTGAACCACAGTAAGAACTTTGTGGACCCGGATTCTGGGGCACATATACTAATAACATCGAGAGACGTTGGCGCGATATCCGGGCAGCTATACCTAAGTACGGCAAGGCTGAAAAAACATTTCATTGGTTACCTGGCGGAGTACCTGTTCAAAGCACGCTACCACTACAGATTTCGCCCTCACTGCTTTTTCACGGCCGCCGGGGAGTTATACCCACCCACCCACTAACTCTGGTAAGGTTATTATCCTAGGTTAGGTTAGGTTAGGTTAGGTTAGGTTAGGTTAGGTTGGGTTAGTTTACATAGGTACAGTACTCATGTTATTGACAAACTAACCTAAACTAACCTAACCTAACCCAACCTAACCTAAGTTTCTAAGTTAGGTTAGGTTAGTTTAGGTTAGGTTAAGTTTGGTTAGGTTAGGTAAGGTTAAGTTAGGTTAGGTTAGGTTCGGTTGGATTAGTTTACATAGTTACAATACTCATGTTATTGATAAACTAACCTAACCTAACCTAACCTAAAGTAACCTAACCTAACCCAACCTAACCTAACCTAACCACTTTGGTTAGGTTACTTTAGGTTAGGTTAGTTTACATATTTACAATACTCATGTTATTGTTAAACTAACCTAACCTAACCTAACCTAACCTAACCTTACCTAACCTAAAGTAACCTAACCTAACCTAAAGTAACCTAACCAAAGTGGTTAGGTTAGGTTAGGTTGGGTTAGGTTAGGTTAGGTTAGGTTACTTTAGGTTAGGTTAGGTTACTTTAGGTTAGGTTAGTCAGGTTAGGTTCGGTTGGGTTAGTTTACATATTTACAATACTCATGTTATTGTTAAACTAACCTAACCTAACCTAACCTAACCAATCCTAACCTAAAATAAAGCCCGCATTCCACAATGGCTTAGAGTCTCCCGCAACGCTAGCGCTATGTGGTAGTATAAGAGTAGCCAGCGGCCCGCTTTTTCGGTGTTATTTTACTTAATAGTGGTCCGATCGTAATAAAAATTACATATTCTTGTTCAGGAGGAAATTCCGCACAATTTGAGTACCCACAACATGGGTTTTGAGCAAAAAAAAAAATTTGGGAAAACGGGACGTTTCCGAAAAAAACGACAATCATTTTTGAAATCAGCGTGAAATTTCGACCATTTTGAAAAAAAAAATTTTAATTTCGCGTGAGGTCCGGAGGTCGATATAATTACCAATACATGAACCATCGAAGTATATTAGGCCTAACACAACTGGAACTCTAAGTACGAGATCACGAAAGCGCGCCGTTGCAGCAGGCTTCCCCCACCACCATGTGGGACCCAGCGAATTTTAGCCAATTCACCGAATAGTGTGCAAAGTTGTTAACTCGCTCCTAGCCTTCAATAACACAGATTAAGTTGGTACAAGAATGTTTATATTCGTAATTCCAAAGGGCGCGCTTTACCCGCAGTAGAAATCCTGCGATCGTTGTTGCTAACGCCAGTTACGCCGTTATGAGTTGGGAGCGCTAGGAGCGATGCGGCGAGAGGGGAAATGGCAAGATGGCCGCAACTGGCAAGCAACGAACTCCGGGCTGCACAGCGCTTGAGACTGAGATGGCTCTCGCACGCGCAGTCGCGCCCGCCCGCGCACCACTCACTGCCAGCCACGGCCACAGTAGACCAGCGCTTTTCGGTAGCCTTGCCTCGTCGCATCAACACAACCACACAACTCAAACTAGGCTACTACTGGGTGTAAGCGCTCCGATGTCGCGTACAGTATAATCATAGACTAAGCAACAAGTTTGTTTCATCTATGGTAGAATGTAGCGAAGTAAGCTATGTTTGTTATTCAAAATTATTACTTTTTTTCTACACCATTAGACATCTTAAAATTATGGACATTGGCAGTAAAAAAAGGAAATTTGTGTACATGACGTACAAATACACATTATAATTTGTCCTTCACTATATGCAAAGTATACACAACAAATACATAAAGGGTACCTAATATTATTTTATTTTCCAACAGGACCCTAGTCCACATCCTGGATTACATGGCAACTATTTAAAAACTCGGTAGGATTATAAAATTATTTGAAAATATATTTATTAATAAGGATTTGATGATTGAGTTGATTATGGATTATAGATTTTGATGATTTGATGAATTAAATCTCGGATATAGACCCTAATAGAATTTATATCCTATCTCTGATGGGTAGCCCTCTTGGGTATCTGGGATCAATAAGTTCTGGCAGAATGCATTTGAAATAGAAGTCAGTTAGTGGATTTTCCATATTCTTCCTCCAGAACTCATCGTCTCTCATGATCTTCTCCACTGACAAACCATGAGGTGTCCAAACTACAAACAAACAGTATTTCAATTTTGTTAATTTATATTATTACAGTATCTTGATTACTATTTTATTTTTTATATACAATAATAATGATTGTGCAACATTGAATTTCGTTTATAAAAATGCAAATCGTGACGTTAATGGCTGTTTACAGCGTTTTAATGAGTTTGTCATCTGTTTTTATACTATATTGGATTAACCGTATTTTTCATTACCCCCCCCTCTCCCTATTAACTCAGGTAATCGAGTATCTACAGATAAGTTCAAAGTATTGTAACCTATGCTACTTGCTACTTGATTGTATTTTAACGAGCTTTATGTCAACAAAGCGGTTTGTGCTAACTCGCGGTGTAGCTGGAAGTGTCTGTACCACGTGTTATCTATTATCTATCGCAGCAGTTGAGCCATTCCGTGCCCTTTCTCTTAGATCTCACGACTTGCTAATCTTAAATAATAACTTTCTACACGAATCCTAAACTATCCTAAAATCCTATTTTAACTAATTTAATTAAATAATATAACTATTACGGCGACTTCGTAATATATTTTGGATTGTTGTCACGTTGAACACTGTTGCAATTAGCTTTAGCCCCCCCCCCCCATTTGAATTTTTTTAGCCCCCCCCCCCAAGAATTTCAATGACGCAGTCTGCGTCACAGCCCCCCCTTGTGGGCACCCCTGCGCTTGCAGATACTAGGCTGAAAAAAAATTGGTAGTTTAAATAATGATTAGGTTACCTTTTTTAAACCTTTTAATGATTATATCCCGCTTATGGTAATCTAAAACACATTTAAAAAATTGCCCGCGCGTTTATTGTATTGAGTATAAACAACTGGTACTAATAATTTGATTTTTAACAATGGCCCCCTGTTATTTACTTATCCGGTACACACAGATCTAAGATTTATTTGTACATTGTTTATTACTATATTTCACTGCACAAAGTACTAGCTGATATAGATTGTATAGATTTTTGCTATGGATTATAAACAAAACAATGACAGTCTGTTGGTAGCTATAACCCTTATAACAGTTGTTGCCTTATTTGTCATAAGTTCGCCTTATTTTGACAATGACCTTCAAACCTATAAAGACAGTTACGGTACTTATTTTATCTGCTTATTGATTCCTAAACATAATTAACAATAATAATAACAATAATATAACAAACCACTCACCAAATATTTCTCTTTCTTTCCCACCACTTATCAAGATTCTTCGCTGTAGACCTTTTCCTTTTAGTGGAAAGTGTCAAATGTCGTTTGACACGAGTTTTCCTTGAAGTTCCAGGCATTTAAAAACTCACTTTTAACTATCTCTAAACTTCACAAACACAGTTATGCTACCAGTACACTATCGCCAAACATTCGCCCGAATGTTTCGCCGAATGTTCGCGTTAGTTTGCGACCGCGAATGTTGACGAATGTGAAGCCCAAACGATCCCGAACTAACCAAGTACACTATCGGCTAACTTCGGCCGAACTGTGTTGAGTCCAATATTGCGTATTCGTGGCAAAACATTCGCACCAAATCGCACCAAACCCCAAACCGCTAACGTCAAAGACTATTCTAGAAAATTATAGAGGAAATTCTATGATTTCCGTTACAGTAGTTTGAGTTAGACACCACTTGAATGTATCCTATGTTTCTTACTTCTCTGTGGCTTCGTAATGTAAAATTAATGCCAATTTGTTTTATTAAAATGTTTGTTTTCTTAAGCGATACTTTATTTATGTATATAGGCTATGCAATTAAATCATCCCACGGCCACAGAACAGACTCACTACGGTATAGTTCCAAAAATAACAGTGATTCCTCATTAGAACACTCCATACTTTGTACAATTTATCTATATAAGATCTAGTAGTAAATAATTGATTAACAAAAACTAAAAGTATCTCTAACTACACCACCGCTGCAGTAAATACTGTAGAAAGAGTGTCCATGACTACGAATGACAGCGAGTGTGTACTGGCTGTGTTCGTGCCCGTCTGCGATCGGCATTCGTCCTAGTTCGTCTCCTTTGATTCGTGACGGGAGACTGCCAAAAAAGCGAGCGCACCCGAACACGAATGTTGGCGATGCGAACTACCCCAAATGTACACGAGCACACCGAGTACACTATCGCGCTCGTCTTAGGCCCCTATTACACGAGGTAGCCTGGCGACGCACTGGCCACCAAACCTATAACCAGTTGAGTAGCCAGAATTTTACCGCCGTGGCGCCGTTGTTGTGAGTGCTTGTCTTGCACTTGTACTTGTTATGAGCGGTGTTTACAGTGAATAATGAGTGATTATAAGTATCTTCTCCTTCTGTTACTTCTGAAGAAAAGGAGGCAAAGGAAGAGAAAAATGTACGTTCATCCAATGCTTAGTGCAAGAGAATCAAAAGGGTTATATTACGCCCTTTTTGATGAGCTCTGTGCGGACAATACAAAATTTTTCAATTATTTTCGTATGTCACAATCTAGTTTCTTTGAGTTGTTAGGTCTCACAACACACAGCACAACAGTGTGCAAGTACCCCCGTGATATGAACTGACCGAGTGGCGACGTGATACTGGCGACCTAGTGTAATAAGCTCCATATGCTACAACGCAGCGTCGCCAATATGGGTAGCCAGTGGCTACCACAGTGGCGACGGGGCTCGGTAGCCAGTCGGTCGCCAAAGTGTGGCTGCGTCGCTGGCTATCCTCGTGTAATAACATCCATAAGAATCAATGTGTTCAATGTACCCATGACAAGCTGAGTAGCCAGTTTGGTCGCTGGCGACGTCGCCAGGCTACCTCGTGTAATAGGGGCCTTAGTTCGCCTACATTCGGCGATAGTGTACTGCAGGCATTAAACACAGAGGTAGAGTAGCGCCGGGTTTGACAGATGGAAACACGTGGATCAAGCATTGGAGGGGTGAGAAGCGGTGCTGAGAGGGGGATTTCCGGCGAGCTTCCCCGAGCTGCCGCTAGACGCCGGCACCGCACAGTGGTAATTTTTAATTTGCAGAGGTTTCCAAGATTACTCTTTTCGAATTAACCAATAATGATAGCTACGCACTCTAAACGGATTATAGTAGTAAAAAGACCAATCTATAGTTCTGCGTTTTTAAAATTTTCAAATAACGTTTTTTAAATAAGTTACGGCTAGTCGAAAAGGCCCTTTTTTCTTGTAATAAAACTCAAGTTTATAAGGTGTGTAATAAAGATAATTGAAATATAGAAACGCAGAACTATAGAAAATTTCATCCTCTTTAATATGAGACCTTAAATTTGATTCTATCTTCAATGTAGCAGGTGAAAAGAGAAATCTTGCAAACCCTTGCATTCGGTTGCGCGTCAGGGGTAAAGCGCGCCCTTAAATTCAGAATGTAACGATATCAAAAAAATTTACTTTTAACTTTTAAATAGCCTAGAATTGCCATACCAGTAGTTAAAAAGAGTTTACAATTTCTACATTATTACATGAAAAAGTTAGTATGCGAGGATAAGGAAGTATTTTATTTTTGGGCCAGAAGACAACTTTAAGCGACAAAGTTGTAACTTAGTTGAAGAGATGATTTTCAACTTGTGATCGAGCAATTTACAATTAAGTTTGTAGTTTGTTTGTAGGGTAGTAGAGTGATTAATAGCGCAACGAGGTTGATTTTATGTCGCACCAACCTCCTCAGTCCTGCAACTCTTTATGTTAAGAGGCTTCGTGTAATTTAAACTAAACTTATGTGAAATTTTGAAGATATCACCACAATGGTTACGATAGGCAGGCCTAACTTTAAGTTAAGTTAATGGTGAAGACTTAAATGATGCCATAAGAGTTAGGGTAACTATTAGGAATGCCACAAGTGTGTCTAATTTGCAGATTAACTTATGTTGAAGATGCAGCTTATGCTGTCTTAATATTTTATGCATAGGAGAAGTTTTGTAGCCTAGGTAGGCTACTTAGGATATCATCTTTTTTCTACGATACAATTCCTTCATAAACAAAGTGTGTAAGTTCAGACTTATAGTACCTAAACCAAATAATTTTTATTACAGGTATCCGTTTTTCTGAAGAAGTATCAAGAGATGAAGTGAAAGCTCTTTCTGCTCTCATGACCTTTAAGTGTGCTTGCGTTGATGTTCCTTTTGGAGGGGCAAAAGCTGGAGTCAAAATCGACCCAAAAAAATACAGTGAGTTTGAACTTGAAAGGATCACACGAAGATTTACATTGGAGTTGGCCAAGAAAGGATTTATTGGTAAGTCAACTTTAGCTTAAATAAGTTCAAAATTGACTTAAAAGGTCTTGGCTCTCAAATAATCAACTTAATTTTTGTTTTAAAAACTTGTAGTTTAGGAATTTTAGCATGATATGTTTCAACATAACTTAAGTGATTAACTTATAATTAAATTGTAGGCTACCTCCATGCAAAATGTAATACTAAGTGTGCTTATTATTAGGATTTATCATTTTCATTGTTTAGATCAACTGTTTTTTTTTATCAATAATTTTAGCCTCTGGATTGCTTATATAATCAAATAGATAACGTAAGGATTGCTAAGGTAAGAGTTTACGTTATCTATTTGGTTTTTTTAGTTTCTGTTTGAAATGGATAAATTAGTAGACCTACAGGCTTAATTACAGCAATTCTTTGCTCTATTTCAGGACCTGGTGTGGACGTCCCTGCTCCTGATATGGGTACTGGCGAGCGTGAAATGTCGTGGATTGCCGACACTTACGCCAAAACCATTGGTTTGTACAAGATAATGCTCACGATAAAATTAGTCCCCCGGTAAAAGTTTGAGTAGAATTATGAAAATCCTTCTATGATGTAGCCTATATTTACTTAGCCCAATAGAACGGGTAAGGTTTCTTAACTGGGCTACGCTAATATCAATTGAAACTATCAATTTGATTAGTTAAACCTTAATCCGATTTTTTCATTACCAGCAAGTTTGGTTAGTTATGGTATGACAATTTCATTTTAAAATTGATACAGCTAAAAATATAGATTATTAATCATTTTCAATCAATAGTTTCAATTGACATTAGCGTAGCCCAGTTAAGACATGTACCCGTAGAACTGTAACAATCTTATTCAAAAATTGACCGTAATTGAAAATGAATGTGCCTCTATTTCATAACTTATAATACAAGCTTTAAACAATTCTTACACATTTCACTCCTTAACGGTTTTTATACAGAATAAAATGGTAGATTGAATCCCTCCAAAAAGTAGAGATCTCATTTTGTTGAAAATAACTAGGCCTATGCCAAAGAAAATTCTGGTAGTCACACACAAGCTCCTAGCAATATAATAGAAGGTTAAAGCACACACAACACTAGGTCTACTTATAATTTTACTGTTTTGAGAAAACAGAAACCATTAGATTGTGCTGTATGAGAAATAAACTGCCACATTTCTTGTTATGTTTCAAAATGGAAATTATACTGCTCATATGGACTTGCAGGTCATCTGGACATAAACGCTCATGCATGTGTGACTGGTAAGCCTATCCAACAGGGAGGTATACATGGTCGTATCTCTGCCACTGGCCGAGGAGTGTTTCACGGCTTGGAAAACTTCATCATGGAGGCTAACTACATGAGCATGATTGGGACCACGCCGGGTTGGGGTGGAAAAACCTTCATTGTTCAGGTTTGGAGTTGACTATATAGTTGAATTTTTAAACTTCTATCTGTACTGTACAACTAAAATTCTTGGTAATAGTTGTATAGCATCACATAGTTAAAATAGTGTTTTTTGTCTAGTTACAGTATTTTTCACACTGAGCCAATAAATACAGTCCATTTTTGTTTGAACCTTTCCCAATTCATCGTCACTTTTTTACCTGGTTCGTAAAGTCATTTTAACAACTAATAGCCGTTGGATTGAAAAACCTAGGCCTATTAACACAATCGTCTAGTGGTATGACTCCCAGTGTTGTTCCTTGAGCCTTCCCCTATCATCCTAATTGACACTAGTTATATTTACCTCATTTAAATTTTGAACCACCCATTAAAATTTATCAGCTGTTCTTAAAACATGTTATCATGTCTTAGGGTTTTGGAAACGTGGGTCTTCACACAATGAGATACCTCCACAGGGCTGGAGCTACTTGTATTGGTGTTATTGAAAGGGATGGTTCAATCTTCAACCCTGAAGGAATCGACCCTAAGGTACCCAATTTACCTACTCACATTTCTATAGTTAGTTTTTTTTGTTTTGTGTTTGTAGTCAATGGTTTGTTTTAAACTATTGTATATACATTTTATTCACTATTGCTACAGGGTAATACCGTAGAAATATTTATTAGTTACCGTACTAGTGATTGAAACGGTTTGGTTATATCAAAATCTCTTTACGTATTCATTTTGTACACACATACATAGTGTCATAAAATAGATGTGAGTCACAAAAAAAAAAAAAAAAAACAAAAAACAAAAAAAACATTGTAGAACAAAAAGATACTTTATACCATCTAACTACAATACTATACCATAACTAACTTCTATACCATAAACTCTACAATAAAACTAATTTTGATGAGTAAATGGCTTAAAATTGTGTTAAAATACATAACACTTAGTATTTATTTTAACATTACTCTTAAGAGAAACAAATTTACTTTACTAAAATAAACTTCTACATTATTTTGAAGCATTTTTCGTCTGGATTACCTTTAATCAATTTTAGTAAGTTAACCGGTTTAAAAACTTGATCCCATGTGGGTTGTTTTTTTTTCTAAAAATGTTTATGTTGGGATATAAGTATACCTAGGCCTACTTTATACTCTATACTCTATACTTCTTGTCAAGTAATTTATAGTTAACTGCTGTAGCATTTGTAATGTTATCAACATTTTGATAAAGGGTCTAATTGCTTACTGATAAAACCTATTTATGAATAATTATTTTGGTATAAATTGCTATATGTTTTATTTGTCCAATTAATTCAAGGTTTTATATCTATGTTTGATTAGCTAGCTAAAATTAATTGGTAGAAGAAAAATACTTTTTAGAAGTAAGGCAGTTTATGTTTGTCACAAAAAAATTATACGTAACAACAAATACAATTAATTGATGAAATAGTCTTTAGCCAAAAAATGTTATTAAAGTACTTAAAAAAGTTTGCATTGATTGAATATGATAAAGTAATACTGTAGGCCTACTGCAATTCATACATAATAATGTTACAATTTTATTGCTGTAGGCCCTAATATCATGATCATTTCTCATAGTCATAGAAAAATCATCACGGATATCCTGGATGAATAAATCCCAGGGGTCATGGAAAAATTACCATTGTCTTCCGGGACCCCGCAAAATCCTGAACGCATACCAGGCTAGCTAAATAGACATCATCATCTTCTTTGCAACATATTGAACATCTGCTGTTGTGAAAATACATTGTGATTGTAAAAGTTCGGCTCTCGAGCAATTTTCTGACTTAGTGCTCGATCTCTCTAGCTTGTAGGCAAGGCTCGACTCGCCAAAAATTGAGCCACTCGCATTGTCACACACCTCTATAGAAATGTATGGCTTTTAATGGGTCCTAAAGTCAGATATCCCAAGGAGTCGGTTATTTATTTTTTTTGTCCTAGGTCGTTAGGCACGATCCTGAAATTGTTTATCGCATTACTTCAGGCTAGACCTAGGGGTTGCGGCATTATCACTTAGATAAAATCCATTGGTCATTTGGCAGGATTTGAACCTGGACCTCAGGTACTGACGTCCCTCGCTCTACTGTAACCACTAGACCAGCTCGCTCCCCAAGAGGAGTCGGTTATGCTAAGGTCGTTTGTGAAGGGTTCTACTGTATATTATATAATCATTTGATTTTGCAGAAACTAGAAGACTACCGCATTGAAACTGGATCAATCGTAGGATTCCCCGGAGCCCAACCTTACCAGGGAGAGAATCTGATGTTTGAGAAATGTGACATTTTCATTCCTGCTGCCCTTGAAAAAGTGATTACCAAGGACAATGCCCATAAGCTGCAGTGTAAGGTAGGACTCAAATAACTAAAAGTAAATATAGTTGGGTAGCTGAGTTGTTATAGTGCTTAGTGAAAAGGTTGTCAGTTCAATACTAAGATAATCCAGAAGTTTTTTGATGTTTCAAAACTGGAACCAGCCGCCCTTGGTCTTACAATACAACGAATGGTCTTGGCTAAGTAAACAGCTGATCTTAGACAGTAACATAGCTATCATTTCATACGCGAAACACTAAATATATCTTCGACTTAGTCTTGGCCTTAAATTACGCACCCTGGTGAGTCAGACTAGAAATCTAATATAATCTTAGTGATTGGTCAATATTATTGGGAATGAACTACTTTTCAAATCGTTGCATGGTTCAACTAGTATGATCGGTGGACAACAAACTTGAAATCTTATAGTTTTGATTGGTCTGAAGAGACCTTCTGATGAATTGATTTATTTAACTGTCTTTAATTTTAAGGTTTTCTTGTGTCAAATGTTGAACACATTTTGTTTGTTATCTTACTAATTAGTGTAGTACGAATGAACCTAGAACCAGTTTTTACAAAATCAGACATTACTGCAAGGAGGAACTCTCTCTCCAAGTACGAAATTAGCGTCCACTCGAGGAAAAAAATGTTCTGAAATCTATTTTTTTTTACATTAGGGAAGAAGGAATGGGTACATAATGAACTTGTCCACGAAAACCCAAGAAAAGAGTTCCAGGCTGTTGACAGCTCACAAAAAGTTCACAACACAATTAATTTTATATTTTGTCCTACTTCTTTTTAAAGAAGCCCGCTCTGTCAGAGTAAAATATAAAATTAATTGTGTTGTCAACGTTTTGAGTGCTGTCAACTCTTGGGCAAGTTAGTTGTTTATCCATTCATTCTTCTTTAAAGTACCGTATATCTAAGTCTAGCGCTCTTTCCTAAGAAAAGCCAAATTTTTAGAATTTTTATCTTAGGTAATCTTTTTCATTATAAATCTTTTATTTTTTATCAGAATAAGTATTCTCCTTGAAAATTATTTTGTGTTTCTGATTTCTAGGTGAATTATGTTGGTGATGAATTGTGTTGAAGAAGTATATTTTATGTTTTAAACATCTTGTGTAGGCCTACATATGAAGTGTGGAGTGAAATTGCAAATGTTGACTGTCAAACTGTTTTCGGGACATGAGATGACTCTGTTAAAAATACTTCATTAATAAAATTGGCAAAGTGTAACTTACATTAGAACAATGTATAATGTGGAAAAAAATGACAGAAAAACTGTTATCGAATGAGCTTATTACCCAATGATAAAAATGTTTTTCAGTTTGGTTATTTTGAGACGCATATCCTTATTTACTTAATTTTAAAGATAGCAATGCCATTGTTCTCCCCCCAGTAACAAGTTGCAGTGGTATTGTTTACGAGTTTGAATGAACTCTGCTGTTGCTGATAACTGATGAACCGAGATAGGTTATCTTCCATGCTAGCCCGAGCGTTAAATAATATAAAAAAGTTAAGTACCTTCATGCAAGAGTTGTTGATATAATTAGCAGTGTAAAAATAGAAATGGTCAATAGGGCTACACGTTTTGTCTTAAATAATACATCATAGACTTTGTTTTGTTCTAAGATTATGGAACTGCTGATCAATAATGGAATAACTGTATCCTTATCAATGATTTTTTGGTCAATAAACTAATACAGAATAGTTTCAAAGCATTGCAAAATGAATAATTCCAGTATTTTCTACTTTAAGATAGGCTATTTAAATTAGTTTTCAAATATTTTGTACAAGATATTTTAAAATTAAATTAAATATTTTTATCCTCAGCCGTTTTTGTAGCATGATATCATTTTATGTTGTTGACTTAATGAAAATGTAAGTTATGGAGGACTTTTCAATGGTGTCTTAACCATTTGCATGATATTTTACTTGACAAAGACCGGCTTAAGTTGTTCTCCTGTCTTGTTGGAGGCAGTGACCAAAGTAAAGCGGATTTTGCATACATATCGCAGTATGACTGAAGCGGACAGCCGACCTAGTAGGGAAAGTTTATATTATATCAAATCAACGAGAACTAGGCTATGGTAATCCCCGCTAGTCTTAAACATGACAATCAGCAAGTACAAGTTTAATCTTTGCAATTAATATAATTGATGTACGCTTGCTGCTTACCTCTTTCTCTCTCTCTCTGTGTAAATGTGTACAGCCTTCTGAAAACCTTCTAAGCAGTGTTTCTGTTCGCAACATTTTTATCACAAAAACTGGGAGTTTTTACTATGCGGGGGGGTTAAATCGAGATGCGGGATAAAATGGGAATTTAGGCTCTAACGCTTATTTTTCTTTTTTACTAACTTCTAGTTAAAAAACTAGCCTCAATCGATAGAATTGTTTTAGTATAGTACTATTGCAAGGTTTATACAGTTATTTCAATATAGGTGAAAACGATCACTCGGGATAAAACAGGATTTTTTACAAAAATAAGCAGGATAAAAGAACTTTTCATTAAGCTATAGTAGGATAAAATGGGATTTTCTTGACTAGGTGAGGGGAATTGTTGTTTTTGTTTGTATGGAAATACTGCCCATAAGCCGCTTATTCACATTAACAAACACCTATTACAAAAATACTTTCTTTACGACAGATTATCGGTGAGGCAGCCAATGGCCCGACCACACCGGCCGCGGACGCTATTCTCCTGGAACGCAACATCCTGGTCATACCTGACTTGTACATCAACGCTGGAGGTGTCACTGTGTCCTTTTTCGAGTGGTTGAAGAATCTCAACCACGTGTCTTACGGCAGACTGACATTCAAGTACGAGCGGGAGTCCAACTACCACCTGCTCGGTAAGTGATTTGAGTTTTCCAACAGTGTGTAATTTTACCTAAAACTTAGAGAAACTACATCCTTAGAACTGGCTCTTAGGAAATACATCGGACCTTATCCGTTAATTCACTACCACTATATAATTTGTTTGTAAAATACTATTGAAGTTTTACATGTCTTGGTTCTAAACCCAACCCAACCCAACATAACATTAACTTAGACACAGGATTTGTAGACAATTATGACATTTCAACATGATCAATTTAGTGTCAGTGAATTTATGTAAAAGATCCAACAAGTTACACAAAAATCTATTTGGATATCACAAGAGAATTAGTGATAATTTTCTTCTCTATGAGTAACTTTTCTTTTAGAAGCATTTTTCAAAGTGTCAAGACTGTAATGAATCAATCTTATAGTTAAACAATTGAGCCCATCAAATGAATCCATTTCTTGGTCAGCTCATGTAGAAGATTAATGCTTAATTGCCTATGGCTTTGGTAAATTGCCTAAGAAAGTGAAGTTTTGGTTCTTAAATCTTCAACTTCTTGCATTTTGAAACCCAACCAATGTTTTTTTTAACCTTTTTAACCCTGTATAGGTATAATTTGTTTTGTAAAAAAAATTAAAAACAAAAATAAAAGATTTATAGTTCGAGTAGAGTTAAAGAGTGTAATGTACAGTATCTTCATTGTCTTAATTTGAAAAAGAGTTGGACTGCCTCCAGAGTACTGTATTATTCTTAAAAATGGTTTGAATACCTGCATAAAGTAATCCTTGGCTGCTGTTGTGGCAACTAGTTTACGTTTATGGATCCATATTCAGCCCTACAAGGATTCAATCACACTCACTTTATTTGAAGGCCGTCAATTGTCAGTAAAGTTTGGTAAAAACCAGTAGATGAAAAACAAACAAACAATTGAAATAAATATGTATGCATAAATAAAGAGAGAGTCTAGACGTATAGTTCTTTCGTCCTCTTTGTTTTTCCTATACTGTACGTACATATTCCATTTGTGTGTGATGTATTTCTTTTATTTGTTTTTACTGAACATTATTGATGGCTTTCAAATGAAGTGATTTATGTTGACCGCTTGTAGACCTAAAGATGCATCCAGGGATTACTTAATGCAGGTATTTAAACCATAATAAAGGTTGTATCTCAGATTCATTGAGAAGTTTTATTAAAGTTATTTTTCCATGATTTAGAGTCCGTCCAAGAGTCTTTAGAGAGGCGGTTTGGTCGGGTGGGAGGTCGCATTCCAGTGACTCCTTCAGAAGCTTTCCAGAAGAGAATCGCAGGAGCTTCAGAGAAAGACATTGTACATTCTGGTCTTGACTACACAATGGAGCGGTCAGCTCGAGTAAGTTTACGTCAAGTATTTCTTTAGAAAAATTCTTTTCCTGTATTAAAAATTTATGGACAACTTAAAAGCTTTTGGCGGACATGTTGGCTATCATTATCAGCATCTACTATAAACGATCTATTACCGATACTAAGAAACGGTGGTATCGAGAATCGACACATACCTAATGGAGTATTTAATTTTTTTAATTTGCTATGGTAACTTTATGTTCAAAAACTGCGGTTGAAGTTCCAATTAATTAACTAGTAACATATTACTTTATATCATTGTAAGACTGACTATTGATAATGTTTACAAGTTACTTTTATATTAGGGCCTACCTGTTTTATGGTTAGTAGGTCTACATGATAGCCTTCTACATTCACTGCCTGAACAATTTTCAGGTGTTACAGAAGTTTATTGTAGGCGATGTTTAAATATTAGGCCTAGTCATAAAATATATGTCTGTCTCCTAAAACGTTTCTGAAGTATCCAATGAATCATTTTCATTGTATAGGCCTAATTAGACGTATTGAATGAGAATGAGATTTTTATTTGCCAGTTGATATTCCATACAAATACATTGGCACGTCAAATTTCAATATTGCAATTCGGAAAGTCTGTCTTGCATCATGTACCTATAAGAATAGTCAGTCATTAAATATTAGTCTATTAATATTGGCCAAAATGTGCTACCAACTATTAGTACTGATAGTAACTTGTGGTTAACTCATGTTTAGGCTATCATGAAAACTGCAACGAAATACAACTTGGGCTTGGATTTGCGAACTGCTGCATACGTTAACTCAATCGAGAAGATCTACACCACTTACAAAGGAGCTGGACTTGCTTTTTAAAATGAAAATCTGAACATATCTTTGGGTGGAGATCTACAAATCACCTCACAAAATGTTGGTCAGGTTTGAAGCAAAGTACGATTTGTTCTTGAATTTATTAGGTTAAGTTTGTTTTGCTTTATTTTTTGGTATTGGTGCTTATGATTTTACCTGTATTTGGCATTTACTTTAATAACCTCACGTGACTCCGCGATTTAAGTGATATTAAGTTTTGAATTGTTTAGTCATTAGGCCTACTGATGTATAAACCATTCTGATCCATTTCTGGGATAGTAATAGTGAGGTTCAAATGAAGAATAATTCTCACTTTTACCTCTTGATCAAATAAGAGTTTTTAAGGCTTGAACACTAAACTATAAAATGACATTTATATACTTACAGAGCCATTTTCTTCAAGGGGTTTTCTTGAAATAAACGTTTGTTTGGTAATAAAAAATCATAACTTCAACACCAATTTTTAACTTTTTATCAATAATTATTAAAATAAAAGGTGTATGTTATAAAGGACGTAGTAATATTAACACCTTGAATAACCTTGGTTTAGGTTTACACAGTGGCGGATCCAGAGGGGGGGCGAGGGGGGCGACCGCCCCAACCTCGGGCTTCCATATACATATATTTTTTACTGCATGTAATACAGTAGTGCATACAAATTGCGTAAAATAATTTGTCACACTAACTTTGGACAAAGAAATGGTAAAAAACTGTGAAAGAACTGTGAGGAGACTTAGTTTACACACATTTTTCGGAGGGGTACCCCCGAACCGCCCCTGACTCCCTGGTTCGCCCCCCCCCCTTGTGACTGCTCTAGATCCGCCACTGGGTTTACACCTTGAAAAAATGATTTGAATTGAGATTATAATAATTTTAAATTCCTAAATTTTATTTGCCAATCCTAAGAAAATGCAATATTTGTAAGCATATCCAACAACTAGTTACAAGGGACGTCAATATCAATGCTGTTGCTCAAATAGTAACAAATCAGATGTACGTTTTTGCCCTCACTTATAGTTTGACAATGGTCTTCAAGACCTTATAGAAAAACGTCCTCCCTTCAAGGTTTCAATATTCAATATTGTAAACCTCTACTATATAATGTTCCTTTTTATCACTTTCCCTAGGATGGCCTTACATAACCAAATTTTTGTATTTAATTGTAATTGTATTTAGTTTTATAGTCATTGTTTTTTTACTTTGTAGTTAGAAAGTCATAAATTTTATTGTATACCTAAAACTTGAAGAATTTACAATGTTGTAGCCCGATATTTTTTTTTAAATCGGGAAATTAGACTAGCAAACTCAATTGAGACGGTTCTACTTTTTGATTTGATATTTTAAACTTTAATTTCATTAATGGCAAAACCACGTGTTCTCTTGGTCAATTGAATTGAACTAATTGTAAATTGATTTCAAACCATCAAATAATATTGCATTTCAAACTAGAACTAGACAATGTCAGCAACATTTTCACAGAATCTGACAAGCTTTATATTTTTAGCAAATTTCTAGGCTGTCACAAAAATGTGTTATTAAGCTTTATTTTGGATACAAGAAAGACGATATTATGCGAAAGATCTGCGCTAGTGATTGTGATATTATTTTACTGAATAGGATTTTTTTTAGAAAATTGCTTTCTGTTACCAATTTGAAAGTTTTTGAGGTACTTGAATCTAAAATGTATGTAGGAAGTTTGTTTTGCACTGGTAGAAATTGTGTAGAATATTTGTGGTCACACTGCTCTCTGTTCATTTAATTCACTTAGTGATTTATGGAATTGCACTCATTCAATGTTGGTACTCAAAGTCAGTGAATGTGTGTTACGAACGAGAAGTTTGTGGTAAGGAAGTTTGTTTGAAAAGAGTAGTTTATATCATTTCGTGAACAATAGTTTAAAGTTATACACTTTGGTTGCTTCATAGAGCACTTTTTCAATGTTGATACTTAATACAATTGTTGCAAAGTTGTTATCTGTAATATGTTATACTCAGAATCGTGTACAAAACTGATTTCCGATTTTTTTTCTGGCTCCATCATTCCAATGGTGTATTATACTATACTGTTATACATTCCTGATTGCTATAAGATTTTGTTATGTTTTATCAAAAGCCTATTTTTACCTATTTTTTCCTATTTTTACTTAAGAATGTTTTCCATTAATTGTAATTTCTTAATTCCCATCGTATGTTTTTATTCAATTATTTTATTTCCTACAGACCAAATCATTCCATTATTTTTTAATACCTTGTGGAACAAATATTATGTACTTGCAGTTTTAAGAATCTTTTGGCACAGATAAATAATGATTGTAAAGGTAACTTTCAGCCTGTGTTAAAATCCCAATGTCTTCACTCTGATCCCCCTTTCAAGCTAATGTTTATGTGTAGGCTACTCATTTGAATACCAAGCTATCAGCCGTATTGTAACAGCATACGTGAGGTTTACACTTCTGACATAATTATGTTTCCTTTGCATTCATTATTTCTCTGTGCTATCGGTTATTTTTTTTTATGGATTTTATTTAAGTATAATTTTTAATTTTCATAAGCTCGGACGAATTTCTCTGTCCTTGATGTATACTCTTAGTTTGTAACTTAACCACACTGTGCCAACGTATACATTACAACTTACAACTCATTGATTATATTTTATACTAATGTTGCTCTGTGTAAGATAAATCCATGGAATTACTACTCTGTGTTCATATACAAAGTTTCCAATTTAGTTTGGTTTATGAATTTACTTGGGCATTTCCAACCAAGCCACGAATTAACAATTTTAGTGTAATTGCGTTAATGTTTTATAATTCTATTAAAATGCTGTACTTAAAGTGTCTGTTTTTTTCCTTGCAAAACACTGTGACATATTAAATATTTTACACACAATTACAGTCTATACTTACTGTGCAATAAGTACAATACTTCATAGAGAATGCAATTGTGTTGTAATTGATTACACTTAATGCAGAATCGTCAGTTAATAATGGCGATGAGGAATGAAACCTGCAACTTAAATGAAATGTACTAGCTTCTTTCTGCATATTTAGTGTGCTTTTACGCTACAAGTGGAACCTCAACCTGGAGGCGAGTTAGCGTAGTGAACGAGCTAACCTGAAGGCAAGTGAGCGCAGCGAACAAGCTCCAACCTAAAGGTGAGTGAGCGTAGCGAACGAGCTCCAACCTAAAGGTGAGTGAGCGTAGCGAACGAACTTCAACCAGGACGTGATTGAGCCATGCGAACGAGATCATCTTGAAAATTAAGAAGTTAAACGGGGCAAAGCCCGCGGGTTACAGCTAGTCTATAAGTATAAAAGAGGATGTTTGTATATATATTTGGCAGTGATAAACTCAGACACCGCTGAACCGATTGCCACGAAACTTGGTACATACTTGTAGAATTTCATGGAATAGGTTTATACACCATCAATTTCGTGATCCGTCCAATCGGCTCCGCCCAAGTGGCTCTGGAGTTTCCCATGTTAACCTTATGAGAAATGGAATTAATGAATCTTAACAGCTGTTTCAATTAAACATGTTGGTTCTGTTCTATGATGTTCAATAGCATTAAAGTTACAAGGATTACCAACAGGGTGCAGCACTATTATTTCTTTTACATTTATGACAACAGCTAATTTGCAACCAAAAGGTGAGTGAGCATAGCGAACGAACTTCAACCTGGAGGCGAGTTAGCGTAGTGAACGAGCTAACCTGAAGGCAAGTGAGCGTAGCGAACGAGCTCCAACCTAAAGGTGAGTGATTGTAGCGAACGAACTTCAACCAGGACATGATTGAGCCATGCGAACGAGATCATCTTGAAAATACTGTCATTAATAACCATGAATGAAAATAACCATTAATAATTAAGCTAGCATAACCTAGCATTAATATAAGAGCAATAATAAAGAATCGGTCATCCTTTGTACTATATGTGTTTCATTAGTTGTCGTACGTATTTTAATTTAGCTATAAGCACTTCATATACAATAAGACAATTAAACGTTACGGTACTAAATTATAAATAGTCAAAGGCAAGACAAAGTCTGCCGGGTTCAGCTAGTTAGAGTCTACAGGCTAATAGATACACAATAAAGGAACACAAAACAAACTTTAAGGACTTGGACTGACATTTCTCTTCTACCTTCTCTCTGAAGAAGTCCTACTTCAGGACAAAATGTCAGTGTTGTGTTTTGTAGTTTCTTCTATTGTTTATTTATTAGCTCCTGGACTCTAATATTCTCTGGTAAGCATAGCTGAACTCTATTCCTTTCATACAACTCCTTGCACTTAAGATTCAGTTTTGGAAAGTGTGTATAACCAAGGGCCATCACGCGAGCTCATTCACGTGCGATAATCTAATACCCAGCTTGTATACTCTACTTCACCCAGCGGTAAAGACACCGACTTGTCCAACTTTGCTTAGGCTTGTCAAACGAATCAATTTTAGGACACAAACATCCAGCAAAGACACATCACACAAAACCTTGAAAAGAGCGCCTGTGCGAAGGGGCATGAAACTTGTCTGTTGTATTGGTTAGTGTGTTTTGGTTTGGACCCTTTTGTAGATTGTATTAACTGCCTTCTTAAACAACCACATAAGCCCTGTACAAACTCAATTAATGTCAAGTCTATCACATGCAAAGAGCCAGCATTAAACAGGAACTTTTCGAGGTATAGGTAACAGACCAATATATGCCAATATTCCAGTTTTATGGCAGTTTTTGCACGAACATATTAATGTTTTAATCTTTAGTAAGAGAGCCATTAGAATTCTTTTGAGAGGCAGATTATGGAAACTAAGTTTATCGAATAATTTTATTACAAACGTCTGTAATTTAATATGGGTTCAAAAATTATTGCTGTGTCTGTACGACTTAACTAGGACAAAGCTAAAGTGTAACACATGCTACTGTACTAGGGTTACAATTAGTTGAGGCCGTTTTGCTTTGCGGAGATCATGTATTTAGTTTCATATTAGCTTGTTCTGCACCACGTGTTGTCCCACATTTTAAACTTGGTTTTTGTTTCAGGACAGGTAGGTATTACATAAACAGTTAGTACAGTAATCATGAAATGTCTACTGCAGTTAAACTTTGAAAAAAAGAGTTGCTGCAAGAATTTTCTTTTACTTAGAATTATAATTTTGATTGTATAGAAAAGCAGGGTTGACGGTAGCTGTTTGAATGTACACGAATAGTTAAAAGATTAATTGCAAATAGACTGCAGTAAATAAACATCTAGGTACATCTAATGAGATGTGAATGTAAATTTGTAACACCTTATTAATCTGTATATGTTATCTTTGGTTCCTCTTTAGTTGTATCCAAAAGTTTCCAAAATTTTTGTCATGTTTGTTTATAATTAGGGAAAGAAACTAAGGTTTTTAAGACAGATACCTCAAACTCAAAGAAACCTATTTTTATGACTATTTATATCCATACCATTTATACTTTTGTAACTTTTCCTTTAGTTAATAATGTTACCCAGTTTCAAGAAATTTAGCAAAGTTACATTTAATTTTGCTGGTTGCCTTCTGTCATTGAAGTTTCCGTCTAAAAAAAATCCATAAAGTATTTGAGATCTTCTTTGCATTCTGCAAAGAATACCTTGTCATCTACAAACCTCTGCACTAATTTAAAATTGCCTATTTTGACTTACAGTTTTCCTTCCTAATCTCTTTTGAATGTAAAATAAAACTACAGGGATAGTAGCGTTTTAACTGAATATAAACCTGCCAAGTTTAAATAATTGAAAGTTTCTCCTAAAACTTTACTGCTAGTTTATATACCCTATCCACTGTGTTCATCCAACAGGAAATACAGTTGTAAAAAATTGTAACAGGAACACAAAGGGGTTATAAAGTATTGAAGGATGAAGTAACAGTTGCGTCAGCTGTTACCATGTTTGCCAACTTTCACACACGTGTGTCAACCAACATGTGGATGAGTAACTTTTACACTCCAGATAATGAATTCTATTTTGTTTCAAACTAATTTCAACCCAAAATTTGATCTACGGGTTGAAAGTTTTTATGTAAATTTACGGCTTTGTTCTTAAAGTTCATTATTAAAAAAAAAATTATTTTAATTTGTAGGTAAAATATGGGCTTTTCCTATCGCAAGTGTTTTCAACTATATTACGATTCTGGAGGTAAGGGAGCTCCTCCAGTTTTCAAGTAATTTTCAATCCTAACCTAACATTAAATTAGGGTTACATAGATTGTTACCCACATACCGAATTTTGACAAAATCGGACCACAAGTCCATAGGCATAACTAGGATGTCCCTAAAAGGGGTGTCTGGGAGGTATTCCATAGCCACCAGGGAAGAGAGGGGGTCCCACTCAGGAAACTTTGAAAAATTATATCTGAAAACTCGCATATTTAGAGACATATACAACAAATTTTTCATTGTAGAGAATAATTTATGATTGTAAAAATAATCACATTTTATGGTCAAGGAGGGTTCAAACCCCTAACCCCCCCCCCCTGGATACGCCACAGCACAAGTAGCCTGTAGATCTGTACACATCCACACACTCACAGACATGACTCCGAAAACCACTTTTTTGGGTTCAAGGGCCCAAAATAGATATTTCCACCCAAAACTCGAAAACTATAGGCACTGTTTCCATTTACTATGTTATGGGAGGGGGGGGGGGTAGTGGGGGTAGAAAGTAAAAACAAATTACAAAGACATTCTGATTTTTTTATCAAGTTTTGTTAGAGTCTGTGTTGTAGTTTCTAGACAGACTCAATTCTATGACTGAATTTCCTACAGGAATATGCAAATTTGGACACAGAGTTGTCTGACGAGTGTCAAGTGCTAAGACAAAGCCAGTGTTTTACATTACAATGTGGCTACCAGCCAGACCCTGTCCAAGCCAAGCTGCCATGAATAATCATATCCTCGCTGCCTTTTTATTTTCTTATGATTTTACTATAAAAATATCCACATCAAAATCGTTTATCGAAGTGCATGTTCATCACAATCTATTCAAGCAATGACCTGATATAATTCAAAACCAATAAGTAATACAATCTTAGTCTCAGTAATGCAATAAGTAAATTTATGAAATAATTTCATTTTATAGTACCTGTACTGTATATTGTTTATGTTTAGTCGTAAACAAGTTTTACTGTATAGACAGACTCAAAATACATAATTCTTATAAATCCATAGGTTAATCAAATTAAGCTTAACTAAACTCTAAGAAACTTCATGTTTCTTATTCTTACTACAGGATAGTTTTAGAGGGTTGCAGCATTATCACATAAATAAGACTCATTGGTGGGATTTGAACCTATGAAACCAAAGTCCCGCTCCACCACTATAGGCCAGCTTGCTATGGTTTGTTACTATCAGACTAGGATAACGAGAAAGAAACAATTAGAAATAGAGTGAATGATTTTGTTTGGACTGATTAATAGGAAGATTTTAATCTGCAAGTTTCATGGAATTCATAGTACATTTTAAAAGACTAGTTATCTCAACTGTATTAAAACAATTAAAAAGTGTGGAACCATAGTTGACTTAAAGAAAGTGAACTATAAATAACTAGTTTTTATGTTTTTGGACCCAAACACTATTGTTAATTCTATCAAAAACAAACTTTTTGTTAGATAGCTCACCATTAATCGAGACAAATGATATCAGGATCTATAATTGTTCCGCATTGTTTGGGATTGGACCATCAAATTTTGAACTTGAAGGCAGCATGATAACAACTCGGCTACCCAGTTGTAAAGTTTTGAAGACAACTAAGTTTTAGAAAAAAAAAACGTCATAAAAAACTAAAATCACTGGGTCTTATTAAGTTAAACAATATTTTATAA